TCTGAGCAGCAGCAGTCAACAACAGCACATTACATGGTAAAGTCTAGTAGTCATGGTAAAGTCATCAATATTAAGTTTGCATATATTCTTTATGTTATTTTATATTATATTTTTATATGAATCTGATGATAAACAGCATATGCTTTGACCCCGCCCTATTTGTCCCTGTCTATCTGATCCCTAAGTGATGTTTATCCATGTCTGTTTTATTAACATCTATCATAATGACAGGCTTTAATATGCAACAACAGGCCCTCATTGTGTAGTTCAGCCCTCACAACCAACTTATTGTCATACTTGCATCTGCGGCCTTGAGACCTGTATTTATTCTGTTGCATAAACTGTTAAAAGAGATGTTGATGTGAGTTGTTTTCCACAGTGATCTCACAGAGATGCTCACAGAAATGCGGTGAGCATCACAAATTAAATGCCATTCATCTACAAACATACAAAACCTGGACCGAAAAAACAAACCTATCTAGATGGATACCACCAGAGCTTATTGAGAAAATAAGTAGTTTTAGTAGTTCTTCGGGTTAGCTGACAAATAATAAAAGATGGACGAGAGAGGCCACGTTGCACACAATGCTACCCCAAATAATCAATATACATCATCCAAAATACGCTGTCTGTTTATGACAAAATATTTTCATTAGTTGTGTTTTTGATTTTCTTAACACTTCCTTTCCTGTAATGGGGGTAAATCTAACTAAAGTAATATGCTACAGTACAATACAATGTGTTTCCCTTATTACCTACCACCTGTATGGTTAGCTAACTTAGCCCTGATCCAGGACTGTCATAAAGCCTACAGGTGTGTTGACCCTGGACTAAGGCTACCAGTTAGCTAGTGAGCTAACGTCACCTGCTATCTCCCAGACCATTGGGCTAACAACGATGGAGTTTTAATTGACGTTCTGGTTATGCTAACAAAAGACTCAGGACAAAGCAGAAATGTTCTCCGAGCGCTCTGTTGCTACTTTGGTGGACGGCGTGGAGCCATTAGCAAATGCCGTCACAGGCTCCATATCCCACAGTGACAGCAGCTCACATCCATCGTCGCAGCCTTGGCGCGGCTGACAGGAGCTCACTTCATCATTGGAGGAGCTCCATCCCATGGGAACATTCACCTCACCCCGAGCACCTCTGAACAACTGTCCTATCTTTGTTTGTCCTGGTAAATATACAAAGCAAGGCGAGGAGATTACTAAAGCTGTATTTTAAACTGAAGTGTCTAATAATGGAGACATTACAGGATAACAGATGGCCCAATCTAAAATTAGCCTGATAGCTACTGCATGATTATCCATGCACTCAATTTAGGAGGGAATAAATGATGCCTCATTGTCGTCATCTTGATCGGACCATTTATATCTTTTGTGTTATAAGGCATCACAGCTTTTTGGGGCTCTAATTTTCCCTGTCTGGCAAGAAGCCCTTCCCTCACATGCCTGAAGGCTCGTTGATGAGGTCAAAGGGGAGACTTCTGGGTGAGCTGATCAGCTTCAGGATGTTATACGTGTGAGTGGATCACAGGCAAAGGAGGAGGCAGATTAGACTCCAAAGTGTGAGAGTTTCTGTATTTGCATATCTGTACGTAACTACACGTGTAAACTAGATACGAGTGTACATATACTGAATATGTATTTGCATGTATTTTATGTTTGCGTGTGTTGTTGCAATGGATGTCGTGACGTCAGAGAGCAGGTGTCATGTGACGCTCCTGATAAAGTGAGGACAGCGATAGGCAGCCATTCAGTTCTGGCTCCTTCGTTCCTCCATCCGTCCTGATGCGAGTCTGGAGAAACTGGATCCTTCCTCCCCCCCCGCACCTCGGCTAAAAGGGGACCTCTCAACTGCCTTCTTTTGCAATGCAAGAAGATGATGATAAACTGCTTCAACTAGCAGGATGACGGAAAGATTTATTTTCCTCTCAGGTGACTGATGCCATTGAGATGATAACTTGACTGAGCATCTGTTGCTACATATGGAGCATGATGCTAATTTTAGGGCTAACCCTGATGGCATTGATACAAACTAGAATCCTCTAAAATTGTACTAATCCCAGAATAATCCTTCAAAATGTTCAGACTCGCTTATATAATAAGATTTTTTCCAGCAGTTTTGGATTTATTACACCTCTACTGTTATATCGAATATTCTTTATTTCCTTAAACTCGATAACTATATTTCACACAATTTGTTATGGGCTGCAATTATCATTAACGTAATCACATCGTAACCACATCAGTATAATGTCGTTAGAACCCCGATAAAACAAGATGACATAAAGCATGTGACCTGCAGGCTAATTGTATTTCCATCTCATTCAGGCGATGACCGCTGTTGTTGAAATGATAACATGACGTGACCTGAGTGATTTTTTCATCAACACTGAGGAATTTCTGGGTTATCCGGAGAGCAATTATCTCCACAATTCACTCAATATATGTGTGCAACCTAAGGGGTGATATGGGTGAAAGGGGCTAGAGAGGTCAATGTTTGGGACATTGTTTTTCAAAGTTTTGACCTGATGATGAAACAAGATGAAAAGTTGCTGTGATCACCAAAGTTAGATTTTATGGCAATCCGTCCAGTAGTTGGTGAGGAAAAAGTCAGATGACCGCCAAAGAAGATTAGAAGGATTCATCCCCTGGGGATCATGGATATCTATCTTTTATAATTTATGTTTGTACAGATTCTCTGTCTCTGCTCTTCTGGAGGGACAATGGGTGATCTGTAGTCGTTATTTTTTCTAGGTTAATCTACTTCTATCTATGTTATTTGACCTATGTTTTTGCATTACCGCTCTACTTAATATTTGAGTTTTGGGCCTTCTTTTACACTTATGTCTCTGAGTGAAATCCAATGCTCTGTATCGCTTGGTTTTTGATTATTTCTCAACGTCTATCTTCTTCTCTGAGTGTGTTGTAATCAAAGAGTGTGTGTGTAACTCCAATCTATTGTGTGTTGATAGTTAATTGATGACCTCTGTGTGAGAGACAATATGTTCTGTGCATATATCGCTCACGTTCTGATGAAGGTCTCAGTGACTGAAAGCTTAGAAAACAATTTGGTGCAAAGGAGACAAGTGTGCAGATGTTTTGATCGTGTTTTTTCGTGCAAATCCGTCTGAAAGTTGGTAAAAGGCAGTCAGATACGACCAAAGAATCACCGGCAACAACACTTGATTACCTCACCAAACAAGTGGATTGTCTCGCTCTTTGACCCACTTTGATCAATCTCATTCTTTGGTTGATCATTGTCTCCTGGAGGTTTTGACTTTTGATGTTATCTGTGGAGTTGCAACATGTGGATCCTCCTGCAAGCCTGCAGGTCAAAGGTGAACTGAGGAACGGTATCATCCACAGCCTCGACCATGTCATTTGATTGTCATAGTGGGAATTGCATCACTGAAACAGTGACTGCGTTTAATCAGTTAATAAGTTACAGCTGCTTACAATGCAATCACAGTTTCTAAAACCCCACCTGTGGGGCAGTTACAGAGGGAAGGGGTGTCGTTCATTCACTTTTGACATGAAGCCAGCGACAACATGGGAGCGCTATCAGATATGACTTGAGACATATTTTACTCTAATGTGTTGAGTCAGGGGGAGCAGTTAGGAGTGGTGCTTATTCACAGTGACAACTCCCCCTAAAACAGGCATTACAACACTGTAGTTTTAACCCTTAAAACACAAACTTTACCACAAACCTCAGATATGGTGTTCCAAATTTGAGCATTAACCTAAATTATTGTGTAAATACATTTTTTCCCTCACAGATTGGGACTGACGTGCTCAGAAAACACAAATGACCACAGTTATGATGTCAATTCAATGACAGATGGGAGTCACTGAGTGATTTCCCAACACGCTTGATAAGATGTGACTATTCCATGAACTATTGAACATGTAGCGCAAGATATTTTACATAAAACACTCCCATAATACTAGACACAAGAGAATCCAGGAGGTGTTACAAGAAACATTGGAGTGATCAGTTTAAGCAACCAGCTTGAATAAAAACTTTATGTAACATCATAGCTTTCCTGTCGCTAATAAAAAGAGGCAGAATGTACCATTACGTGTGTGTGGAACAGGTGAAACATGAAACTCCCAAAAAAAACTGCCTTAAAAGTGCAATAAAAAAGTAATGTGCTGACAAATACATGAGGCTGGTTTCATTTGTCAGCCTTAATACTGAGTCTGAGTGTTGTTGCAACTCCACAGATAACATCAACTTGAGGAGAGGTGAGGCCAGGCGATGACTAATATGCCGTTCTTAGCATATTTTGGAATCATTGACTTTAAAATTTACACTATGCTTTTGTGACATTTTGAAAAATAATGTTCTACTTATTCTTCCTCGATGTGTTCCGATTGGAGTCTTGGGTCTAGAGCAGTGAGTGAGTGCCGGCCGCGTGGCCCCGCCAACCTTTTTGTAAATCAAAATGAAAATAAATTGATTCACAATAGGATTTCTTTGTACCTTTAATAGTGCATAAAAATACACTAATAGAGCTTGTTTAAAAAAAAACAATTTAAAAGAAATAAAGATGAGTTATGGGACTTTTAATAAGCAAGTTGAGTGAGTAACCCTGATCTAGATTGACTGACTTTCTCGCTATACTAAAAATCCTATGTAGCATCTATGTAGTCTATTTAAAAGATATGTTTTTTCTTCTCAAAATGATTTGAGATCTTATATATTTGGTGTCGTGACAAGTTATTGTAGATATTGCACCAAGCACAGAACAGTCCTAAATGAAAGATCACTAATTAGTCGTCATAGGTGATCCCCCCCCCCCACTCTGAAACAGGTCTACTTGTCAAATGGTCCCATGTTCTGCAGCGCCAGTCCGGTGGAGATCAGCGCAAATTACGCATTTGTTTATTATCGCTTCTGTGACCAGAAGTGTAGCTCCGCCCACTGAGACTAACCCAACCAATGAGCTCATTCCTGTTACAGAGGAGTGATCTGTATATCTAAAACTCCAGTCTGCCTGTTCATTGAACTGAGTCAGCGGCCGTGCGCAAATGGAACCAGAGCAGGGCTGTGCGGTGTAGGCTGTAGACTATATAAGATCTCTGCCTGCAGGACTTCACACGCACTGCCGACTGAAAATCACAGGCAGCAGCTCCAGCTTTGACGTCATCTTCCACAGATTGTATGAGGAAACCATAAATCCAGGATAGCCTGACGGGTACCCCGGTCGGGATCTCTCCAACAGCCCCCCTCCTCCTCCTCCTCCTCTTATTACTGACCATCTCGGACCACCGATGCAGAGAGCAGCAGCGATGCGGCGGCTCTGCTGTTAACTCGCTGGACCATTTGCTCTCTGTTGTTGCCTGGGTTTTTTTTTTTTTTTTTGTATCTAAAGGAGGCAGAATAAATCCACAATGAAGCTCAAACCGAACCAGACCAGGACATACGACGGCGAGGGCTTCAAGAAACGAGCAGCATGTCTGTGCTTCAAGAATGAACGTGAGGAAGAGGTAAGAGGTTCCGCAGAAACTGAACCACATGAACAATATGCAGGGGTTGTGTATGACTTCGTGGCCTAGTCATCCCCTGTCTGCACCCAGTCATTCAAACAGCGCAGGGGTGATTATGAACCAAATAGAAAATTATATTTAATATTACACATGGGTTTAGACGTGTGGCGCCAGCTTATATGTGTTGCTGCGTTAACACTGTTTTCTGTCTGTCACAATGCCACTATTTTGGTTTGTGTTTCCGTGCTGCTGTTGATGCGCCGTGGGCCATCCAGTTTAGGCTAGTTTGAGGAGCGCGTAAAGAAAGGGGGGAAAAGGCTGTTGCCAGAGTATCTACCACTAATAACAAACGATAACGGTGACACATTTCAAAATAAAACACCTGATCAATACCTCATTCGAAACTCTATTGAGTTGACGCAAAGCTCTTATTTTGAAGCCTGATTCGCTTTACTTCCGGTTAGCTTGTTCTTAGCTTGAGGTGGCTAACACGGAGGGGGCGAGGCACTCTGTTGCACGTTTCCCTTTCATTTTTGGGGTTTACGTCGGCGTGAGTTGAGAGAGGAGTTAAGAATGACGGCCTCGATTATATTATTAAATATATATATAAACTGTCGCGTCACTTGACTACATTTAATATCACGACAGGGAGGGTCCAGGCAGTGGTCATTCATGATTATGCTGCATCCCACCGGCCTTGAGCGGGCAGCTGCGTAGCAACTATGGATGAGGATTTAAAGGGGCCCTCGCCATGTAAATAATGGATATGGAGTTGCAGGCTTGTATTGTTGTGTCTTAAAGACTTTTCTCGGTGATATACAATGCAGTCGATCCGCATAAAAGCGGATTTCCGTACCGTGACAGCGGTGGCTATTACAAGTGTTTTTTTGTGTTTTGGGTTAGTCACTGTCTTTATTTATTTACACACAAAAGAACAACAATATTAACAGTGACTCATATCAAATATTCAAAACAGTACAAAAACGACAGAACATTAAGAAAGCAAATAGAATCACCTTTATAAAGGTTTATTCTAAGTGAGTCAAAATTAGTCTGAAAATAGACACACACACAAATACAATTTTACAAATTTATTTTGGTTTTCCTTTTGCCCCCCTTAACTTAAAACATGTTAAGAAGTGTGACCATAGACCATAGGGGTCCATAGGGGTCTGAATGCAGCTGCGTGTCCCCCCCCCCCCCCTCCCTGTGACTGCATTCAGACTCACTGTATAGACATTCTTATGCAGAGAGCCTTTATTAATATAAATGACTCTTTCAAGTTAAGCTGTTTGTACTGGTTCCCTTATAACTAATAATAGTCATGTATGCATATGACTATACATTCATATATGTCCAAATATCAGGACCATATCTCTGCTTTTGTGGCATATTCTCTCATGTCTAAATTTAGCCTCCTCTTTGAGCTTTGCATAAACGAACTGTTACACAATAAATATACAGTCAAAGCAGCCCAGTCTGGTGTCCCAGGACTGGCACAGAGAGCTCTGCCTGAGCCCTCCAGTGTTTAGCTGTACCACACAGATTGGAAGAGTTACACACACACACACACACACACGTACACACACGTCTGTTCACTTACACAATACCTGTACTACTGCGCTCTTGCACAATTTTCTTCAGAATTTGTTTGTACATTGTGACTAATTTCTCTTGTCTTGCAATCGCAGGAGAGGACAGTCAGAAAACATTGTGACAATAGAAGAGTGTAGGTGTGACCGCCACCCTCAGGATATTCAGGCTTTGACAGGCATGTCTACTCGTGCAATCGCATTGGATGGCAGTTCCTGAAATATGAGACCCAATCTGGTGATTATGATTTTGGGTTGTCAACAATGGCCATTTTTCCCGTCTAAAGAAGGTTGAGATATGGAGCTTTGTGTCATCAAAACTCTCCTTAAACACATGCCCAATACATATACAATCAGTTCCTAGACACAGGAGGTGAAATGAGAGCCATACATGCTTGTTGGACTGTTTTGTTTCGGAGAGGAAAGGTGAAAGCTGAGCCCACAGGGAGAGGTTCTGTATGACAGCAATTAAACTCCCAGCCGGGGAAAACAGGAACCTCACAGTGCAGAGGGATGCCAGTGATAACTGAGGGGGGCACCTGGGTAAATTAACAGCATGCGAGTTGCTTGGGGAGTGTGTGCCAAGAGAGCTTCTTTAATTATCTTGCGTCATAATAGTGCAGTGGTCGGTTGCAGAAACCCTTAGTTGAATAACTAAGGGTTATTTGTACATTTAATGCAAATTTAAACAAGTCAACTTTATGATTCCATAACACTTCCCCTGCTTTATGTTGTCACACATCTACAGTTATTCATATCAACTGAATATTGTCAGCTTGTTTCCACTTCCCCCAGGTGTCCGTCATGTTAAATGTTGCCAATCTTAATTTGAACCGTTCAAATTTAGTTGTTTGTTTCATGATTTAGAAACAACCTAAAGTGCTACAAACTGTGCTTGTCAGTGTTGAGACTTTGTTAAAATAAGCTTTGTATAATGTCACGAGTTCATGCATAATTTGGAGTAAGGGAAAAGATCCGATCGAGGCAACAGTTTGAACCGTAACCTCCATGTTTATGAATTTATGACCCAGAGGCTGCATATTGAAGGTACTGCAGCAGATTGTAAACAATGTCATACTGGGAATTGGAGGGGGAGGTTGTCTGTGTGAGTGGACGCTTCAGCAGGAGGTCAGAAATCTAGGTGTTCAGTTTCTCTCCCTCTTTGCCTCTCCTGCTGTTTGTCTCCGACAGTCCCTGAGAACGACTCCTCTTATATTGGTTGATACCTTTTTTTTTTATAATGTGACGACTATTTTATAGCTTAGCACTACTGATTCTGCACTTGAGTGTCTCAGACTTTCCCTCATTCCCTCCTACCGTCACCCCGGCATTCGGGGGCCTTCTTTTATTTGACAGCTACAGGCCTTCCGCCTCGGGGAGGAGGCGGAGGTGTTAATGTCCTCCAGAAGGACGCGGAGGTGTTAATGTCCTCCAGAATATCCCTGCCTGCTGTCCCCTGTTTGAGGCCATGCCAGAGGAGTCACTGTCATAGCTTGTGTTTTACTACCAGTGGTAGTTCACATAACTCTAATTATGATATTAAGTTAAGAGTGACTGATCCTCCTCTTTAAATCAGATACGAGACTATACAACAGATTTTTGGATAAGAGAACGGTTAGCTAACGTCAGGTGAGTGTGGCATTCGGTCACAGGGTTTTTTATTACCCCGGGGGAGATTTACTGCACGTTACCTCAGAATTTGCCCTCGTCCTTTTTCACACTGGGGGTCCCTGGGAAGTGATACGAGTTGCAAACCAGTGAAATATCCCCGGGAAACACTGCAGTGTTCCCTCTGGGGTTTCTTCTTCTTCTCCCTGCCCCTCTTTCCAAATATAAGTGTGTTTCTGGGCTCCGAGTTCAGCTGTCAGCCTATGTTTCATGACCGTGTGAGTTATTTTGTTCACCCTTCTAACTGTGGCCTATGTATTCTGCACTCTCCCCCCCTTGTTTGTCCAAAGTTATAGGAAAGGTCAGAAAGTGTAAAGTCTTGTTGTGCTTCTTAGTCAGTGACTCCCAATCAGCGGTTTCTCGGAAAAGATTTGTAGAAAAGTAAATATATCCACAAATTAAGTCAGCTGTAACACCTGAACTCTACATGTTAAGATTGTGAGTGCTTGACAAGTAGTTAACGAGTGAGCAGATTAGTCTAAACGGTTAAGCTAAAAGTAGAAATGGTTGAAACGGATAGTGAATGAACTTGAAATACTTCTCACTGGATTTCTTCAACTTGTCCAAGCGTCTTGGTGCTCGGAGAGATGAACAGACGCTTGCAGGCTTGATTTTGTTGCAATGACGAATGTCTAGTCGCGCTGGAGAGTCCTTGCAAAGCTTAAAGGCAACGCCAAACCCCTGCTGCTCCCTCTTTGTGAACTGTATTCGGCTCAGATGCACATGTGAAGAAACAACTTCTTAATTATACACAGTTTGTAATATGTTGATTCAGTGCTCTACATTCCTAAATGTATTAAAAGTAAACTAAATGTGGCCTGTGCTATATTCTGAGGATGGACAAATACGAGTCCCTCGTGGGACAACATGGAGAGGATAAAAATGGAACAACCAGTGCAGAAATCCTGTTTGTCCTCGGTGTCCCATAAGCTCTGTAGCTTTTGTTTTGTATACATCTCACACTTTAGACAAGTTGACACCAGTGATCTCCATTTAAGCCTTTCTGGCTGCACTCCCGACAGCGGGGTTGGTCTCAAACACACCCAAAACACAAAGAATAAATCTTTTATTATGTCATATCACTGAAATAGCCCAGCCCGGATTTACAGTCTGCACTCTGCTGAGAAGGCGTCATGTTCTGCCCAGCTCTGTTTGTACTATCGGTGTAAATGCCGCTTCCTCTAACACACGTCCCTTACTGTACGCTACATCAGACATACACCTGTTGTGTTTTTTTTTCTCTCGAACCTTTTTACATCTACAGGAAATGTTTGCGGAGCGTGCGTGCGCTTAATCCACCCCGTCACGCTTGACATAGATAGCTACCCCACTTCCCCCGATGACGTAGTCTGGGAACAAGCAGGTGGCTGGGTTGGATGAATGTGAGAAAAATGGCAGCCCGACAGCACTCGCTGTCAAAGCCCCAAGCATTCGTTGTTCAATTTGGTTTGGCCCCCCCGGCCCTTCGCGGAGCACTCAGAATGCCTCCGGTAGCTGCAGCCACGATCCCATTAGAGAATGTAAGGGAAGATATATACGAAATCAGCTGTTCATATCACTACGATCCCGGTCCTGTCACAGACTGTGTTTTAAAAAAAAAATGAGCAAATAGCTCCATGCAAATCTGGTAATGTTTACAGCAGGTGTGCTTCTGTCTGTTGTGGTTGCTATGTGGATACTGCCAGAAAATGCTGACACGCACTCATCTGATCCGTGCATATCCGTGTACACTGCAACTGTAGTGTAATTCAAGCCCAGCAGGCCGCTTAGGGAAGCACTGGCAGACTTTGAGCGGCTCATGCTTGGTTTACATGCATTGTTTGCATTGTTTGCCGGGCTCAGTGTGTGTTGGAAGCGCCTCAACACGGGCTTTGATTGAGCTTTAACCAGCCAAGAAATCCAAAATGGGTGAAAGCAGGTGAACGGGTACATGCTGAGGTCCCCCAAATGCCTCCATTTGTTCTAGTTAGAGTGAGCTAACTTCTTTTTTTTTTTTTTTTTCTAAAAGAACTGTTATCCAGGTTTGTGTGTGTGATATTTTACAATAATTGAAATTACCAGTTGAAAGTAAAGTACGGTACCATGTTTCAGTGTGTATTGTTCTCATAAACATGTATTAGTCTCACTCAGAAGACCATCCACACCGTGCCAGGATCAAATATTTGAAGCGACGAAGGCTGTGGTGGATTTAGAATCCTGTCTACAGCAACAGAGAATAAATAGCAGAGGCAGCACCAATCATCTGCTGTCTGTCTTTAAGACTTGAGTCAAAGGGGTCAAGGGTCATGTCTCATGTCAAGCTCAGTTTCAGTGTTTAAGTCTCAGAAACTACGGGGACGTCTTGCTTCCTTATGATGTGATTTCTGTATCTAAAGGGACATACAATTTGATAGTAAAATAAAGGAATTTACATTTTTTTTCTTTCTGTTCCAGGTTCTGCTGGTCAGCAGCAGTCGGCACCCGGAGCAGTGGATCGTCCCCGGAGGTGGGATGGAGCCAGAGGAGGAGCCATGTGGTGCCGCAGTGCGAGAGGTGTTTGAGGAGGTGAATAAACCCGAGAATTAATTGTTTCTTATCACTAAGTGAGCTCTCTTTGTGCGGTGTAGAGGAAGTCTTTGTTGATGGTTGAACAACAAAAAAATAGCCATTTTTTTTACTGCGTTTAAAGTTAACCTGCATCCAAAAAAAACAACCACCCGTCGGGTATATAACAGGTATTCAAAGCAGCAAAGAATTCACTCTTTGGAAATGTCTTGGTGTTGTAAGTCCTCTGTCCCTGCATCTGTCCTTGTGCATAATTTGGAGTGACCGCAATTGACTTGACGAATTCTGGGTCTGCCATTTGAGATGACATGTTGCGGCAGAGGACATAGAAAAGACATTTATCATTTTTTAAATTAAAAATCCTGCTAAAATGTCTTGAATGCACATCTGTGCTTCCCTTGGGGGTCACACGACTCTGTCACGTCGCTGCAGTTGTCCGTTTCCAGTAAAGAAAAAAAACACAGAAGTGGAGGTGGCATGCGGTGTGCATGCTACGTGTGAGATTTCTGATGGGACACGGTGTCGGTAGCTGGGTGAACTAATGACACCTCTGGTATTCCAGAGGTCCCTCTGGTTGAGAACCTTGTGTTCTCAGCCACGTCAGCGGTCTAAACTTGGCTCCTCGTTGGATTCCTGTGCATCCACGGACCCTGCGGCCCAACCCGCCGGACACATCGGTGCGACAGAGTGACACTTGTGAAGTATGCTGAGCGGGAAAGCACAGATGTCATATGTCCTGGCAGTAATTTGATTCCTGTGAATTAATAAAGCAACTATGATGTGTTGTGAAAGGGACATAATTACATTTCCGCAATAATATTCGTTCAGGTTTTGAGCCAGATTTGTTTATTCCATGCCAAGGGACATTACCAAGGATTGATAATGATATCTATTATTAGAATTACTTTAAGTCCTTCCTGAAGGCCTCAACTAGTGTAGATAAATTCCATATAGAAGTGATTACACCTTTTTAAAAGGCTGACAAGCCTATATTGAAACAGCTGTGAGGCCACAGAGGACAAAAATGAACTCGGCACAAGGATTTATTCTGTAGTCCAGTTCTCAACGTTTTTTTTTCGGTAATTGTTCGTCAAGCAATGCATCCAAACAAAGCCTGGGAGGTTACAGTGGAGCTCAGTACATAGAGCCCTTTAAATATTGATATGTAATACACAATACCCATTGTTTTGCCACAGAATATAGTCTGTTGTTTGAACACTGCTTTTCTAATGTTTCCACCCTCTATTCATCTTTTGCAGTGAATAGAGTGCCCTCAAAACTTTAAGAAAATCACACAAAGAAATGTCGTTTGCTGTCTTTGCTCCGTGCACCAGAGCCAGTAGGGGAAAAACAAAAATTCTAAAAAAAACATTCTTCATTTATTCTTCAGGCCGGTGTGAAGGGCAAGCTAGGACGTCTGCTCGGCGTGTTTGAGGTAAGCTTACGCGGCTTTAGCTTACTTTCAGTCTATTATACCAATGCAACCGCACATTAAAGGGTATTAGATGCACAAATTCCTATCTTTTTTTTATTTTTTATCATGCAATATATAATTTCTGTGTAATATGTTTTGTTTGGAATAGTATTGACAAGAGAAACATGCATGTTTACAAATGTTTTTGTATGATCATTAAATATCCAGTTTCTTTCCCTTGCGTTCCCCTCAAGCAAAACCAGGATCGGAAGCACCGGACGTACGTGTATGTGCTGACTGTCACAGAAACACTGGAGGCCTGGGAAGACTCCGTCAACATAGGTACAGGTCCCCTTCACCTTCCCATGAATGTCTGCAGATGCTGTGGCGTGTGTGTGTGTGTGTGTGTGTGTGTGTGTGTGTGTGTGTGTGTGTGTGTGTGTGTGTGTGTGTCTTTCATCTATAGCTCACCTTTTTACAGTACACTGTTTTTTTTATTTATGTGGAGGCCAGTATAGTGCATGGAGACTATATGGGCATTGGGGTATGCAGTGACCACAGGTGTCTATAAATCTAGGCCACCGGTCGTAGCTGCTGTAGTTCATTACAGCTGACAGTAGCCTGGACACCAGTATCCAGCCTGACTTTATGTGCATCCTCCACCTGTCAGTGTAAACCAGAGCCTGCTACATCCACCATGTTAGACTATATTAATGCGCATATGTCGGTATATATGCCATGTTTTCATGTGAATATGAAAGCATTTATGTGTGCCTGTGATCCTCAAGTAGTGTCTACCTTCACCGTGCGTTAATTAACCTTGCTAACCAAACGGACCAATTAGCTGAGAATGCAATTTAAATACACTCTACCTGTTGTGGTAGCTTGGTGCAAAATACTATAATACTATCATTTTTATGTTCTGGCTCTCTAATTATGGGAACACCCAACATTAAAAGCACCCTTTTAACTCATACATTGTGCTCTGTCTCCCCCTGCAGGTCGTAAGAGGGAGTGGTTCCCCGTCGACGAGGCCATCAAAGTGCTGCAGAGCCACAAACCCGTCCACGCCGACTACCTGCGGAGGCTCCAGCTCAGCTGCTCCCCGACCAACGGAAACTCCATCCTCCCGAGCCCGCCACCCAATGACAACTACCCCCATTACAGCGCCACCGCGACCTCGCCCTCGACGGGTAACGTGTTGGGCTCCTCCTGCAGATAGGACTGCACCTAAAACCGCGTGCGCTGTCCAGCTCGGATGGTTCACTGAAAGTCTGTACAGTCTTGCATGAATCTAATGACTTTTCAGAGTTGCGGCTCTCCTGTATGTATCATTTCTATAGTCTTAGCTGCAGGACGGACCAAAGCCGTCACCAGAACTGTGTTGAAGACTCGTGTGACAGGGCAGGAGACGTCTCTGACAGAAAGACTGTGAATATCTCAAGAACACTTTTTCTTTTGCTGGCGAACACCAGACCGAAGAAGCTGCACACTCAGCTGGCGTGAATGAGCTGGTGAAGGAATGCCTTACAGAAACTTTGTATGAATGTTGTATTTGGGTTGTTTTTCTCTCACTAATGGTCTTTCTTTTTTTTTTTTTAAGCAGAATGGAAATGCTTTCTAGTCATTAAAAGAGTAATTGACCCCCAGAGCACATCCATGCGGGGATGAGACACCAGAGCATTGATATCTTTCAAGGTTTTCCTCTGTTGTTAATGTAGGTTAGATCTCCTTTACACCGTGTAATAATCAATTGTTGACATAACTAGTTAATTTGAACATAATGTTAAAAATATAGATACAAGATATTTTACACAATGAAAACAAACTAAATAAAATAGAAAACGTCATGCCAGAAATGGCTTGTGGTCGTCAATGCCAGGGTCAAGGGTCAAGGGTCAGAGACGTATTATCTGTCAGGATAGCGCCAGCTGTCGGTGAGTTGATACCTCAGTAAACTGGATCGGAGTCGTGCCGTCGTGTTCGATATCCTTTGACAGAACACTGCTGTGTTCATAGTTAAACTGCAGCCAGTGCCCACAGACATTAGGTCTCCACTAACCTTGATCGATCCAACAAACTGGACTATTGACTGTTTGAAGCCACATGCCAGTGTTACGGTTTCCCACGTTTTTTTGAAGTGAAAGTATTTACTGGTGTAAAGTCTTTTCCTTCGGTTTGAAGTGCTGCTATAGGGTCATTTGAGTCTATCTCAACTCTGGTAATGAAAGAAGTGGATTTTCTTTAAATGAAAATAATCATGGTTGACTGCTCTTTGCATTAATGTTAGCGTTTTTATCATGTCTCATTTGGTAAAACAGACCACCAAATGACATCATTTCCATGTACGATATGATTGTTTTTCCTACCATCTGCTACTAACTAAGATTACTAGCACTTTGGGCTTCGACTAATTATTTTATTTCTGGATTAACCTTGGATTATTTTCTTGGTTAACCTTCTAATGATTTGGTCTATAAATTGTGAAAAATCATGGCTTTTAATGCAGTTTTAATATAAATATTTGGTCATGATTTTGGGTGCATGGTGGGGTCTAAGATTTTAAATATACTAAGATTTTAAATATGAAGACAGAAATCCAAGGAAAAAAAGGCTCAAATTGGCAGTTATTTTTTGTTCACTGAAAAGAGACACCCTCACTCCTGTGTTGACCGCTGAATGACGACTGGAACCCGTATACAGAGATCTGTAAATAGCTTTGAAGAGAAACATTTAACGTGTTTTTAACCTGAATGTATACCTGTACAATTTCTCTGAATATTTTATATATTTTTTAACAATGTAGGCCTACAAATGGCAGGATAAAACCAACGTGTAGAAAACCCACTGAGGACAGTATGTACAGTATATTTGTATCGATGACAATGTGCCACGGGTTCAGGATGTAAAGGTTGGCTGGTGGTTGAATTCTAAATCATGATCTGGTGAAATCAGTCTTTGTGAGGATGGTGGAGAAGTTAACTTGGAAAAAAAAAAAAAATGACAGACTGGATCTGGGGATGCATTCTTTTTTTTTTTCTTCTTTTTAAGAAAGTGTATATAACATCCTGCTAATCAACTTGTGTGTGTCAGATGCACAAGACTGAGTAGAGACATCAATTATGAAATGGGTTTTTTAAATATTTTTTGGGGGAAAAACAAAATCAGTTTTTGAAAATGAAGGCAGGACAGTATGATCAGGGGAATGTTTTGGAAGCTTTGGTAAGATGCTGAAAAAAGACATGTTTATTCAACTGTAATGAACACATACTGTTTAACACTGTTTTAAGTTTTCCCATGTGACCTAGATGTATGCTTCAAAACTCTGCAATATCAAAAGCTTTAAAACACCAATTCCAAGTTCCATAAAATGTCAGCCTTGTTCGATTGGTCATGTTAGGACTCCAGCCACCTCAAGCCTTTGTGTGTGTGTGTGTGTGTGTGTGTGTGTGTGTTGATGAACGTGAAATATGATGTGCCAAATTGCAAAAAGTGTTAGGTGGGTAAATTTGTAATGTCATAATATACATATCATTTTTGGCCAACTGCTTTGTGAAAAAGAATGATCTCAAACATTGTAATTTAAGAATATAATCATTTAGAGATTGATATTAAGACCAAGGAACACAGGCACGTATTATTCTTTTTTTTACCCCATAATGTGTTTTAATTACACTTGTCACGTAGCTGAGCATATAAGACTTCACTAGAATCAAAATAACATAAATTTAACATAAACCCATTCATCTCGATGTTTTGCAGCTGAGACATCTTCCTTCACTTCCTGGAGCCTTTTGTTTGATGCTCGGGGTCTATATGCTGATCTGAGAACACTCCATTTATGAGTAATGCATGAGAGTCAGGATAAGAATCCCACAAATGAAATGTATGTGCTCGTGTACAAAAAAATGAAGACTGCCTGGACACGAGCGTCCACTAAATGCACGGTGGATTTGAACAGCTTGATTGTCTGCTGAACACATTGTAATGTCACATGGATGTAAACCAGAGCATTTTACTCAAAGCAAACTTAAGCTTTCTCACCGTTCTGTCACCAACATTATGCACAGAAAAGTTTAAGGTGAAAGGGATTTGATGACGTAGACTGGAAAGATTGTTTTTGAGACAAGATTGCATTAAAAGGGGAAAAAAATCGTATTGTAGCTGTTGTTGAATTCTCATTTATTTGAATCAACTGTGCCGTCTGTGAGGCAAATGTCATGTGAGTCAAGGATCATTCGTTGGCAAATGATTCTAGAAGTAGAGAAATAAGACCTGTCAATGAGAGACCCAGCAGCTGATGAGCCATTATGTTTATATCAAGGAAAACAAAATCCTCAAAGGTTTAGTGTTTCAATAGTTTAGGAGTCATGACTAGATTAACCTGCTATAGGGCCCCAGGGTAAAGATGTGTGCCACTTCCCACCCACACCCCCTGTTCTCAGTAGGGATTAGCTTCTGTTATGATACGCGTTTATTGGCTGACATTTTTGGCTTGGACAGTTTGCACGATATCAGATGACATTTTGAGTCTGGGACTAGATCCGCAGGGCCCCTCAGAAGACCTTTATCATTTCTCAGACGATCAGTCTTGACTGCTGGATGTCCCTAAACTAAATCTGCATTTTATCCACAAGTACCACAATCACACTGACACAAAAATAATCCAGTTTTGTTTGGAAGTAGTATAATTAAACACAATATAATATCTTAACAATGTAATTGAATTGAACAGAAGTTGGTAAGGCCAAACAGCTGCCTATATAGCGTATGTATCAACAGTACAAAGTGCAAATGGAGGCCATTGGGCAAATTTAATAGACTCTATTATGTCTGGCTTTAACAGTTGGGTCTATAAAGGTTCACAACTTGTGTAAAGACGGACTGGCTCCTTGGGAAAACACACCTGGTGGGAAAATACCTGCTGTGTCAGGCTTCAGCTCCCCTCACAACTCAAGCCAAAGAGGGCGGGGCTGAGGTCCAGAGTTGAAAACTGATCATCTGGGCAATTTCTAACACCTAAGGTGCAACATTCCAAATTTTGCCCCTAAATATCCACCAAAAATCTAAAGTAAATATTGATACATAATGTCGTTCAACTTTGTGTGCCTTGGACAAATAAGGTTAATGATGAAGCAATGCGTTGCAATCAGAGGTTAAAGCAATATTCAAAAGTACTAATACCACAGTTTAATATAGTTACAAATTAAGGTCCTGCTTCAAAGTTGTATCAATAAACTTTACTTTCAAAAGTTATTGATTAAAAACGGTATTTTAAACTGTTTAGCACCAAGCTATAGATATGTGAAATATGTATTATTATATATTGAAGTAAAATACAATTAATTCGAAATGAATACAGTACTTGAGTAAATGTTGCTACCAAACCGACACCAGCCGGCAGCGAAACCTGACACCTCAGGTGCGTGGCCTCTAGCCCCGCCCCGCGGGGTGCCAGCAAGGCAGGTCGACCCACCTCATGATCCGAGGGACAACAAAGCAGGACTGATCATCTATCCGCAAGCAGTATACCCATCCGTGAAGCGACCAATTTAGACCGATTTTGGGGGTAAGTCCACGATGGAGGAGCAGTTCTTTAAAACAGCGTTATCTGCGCTGGACTCGTTCGTGCTGGATGACACCAGTCTGGCTCTGCCGGCCGAGCCGACTCCAAGATCCTCGACGACAGGGAGCTCAAATGAGCGCAGTCAGCGCGTTCACCAGCAGGTTCAGCTCACACTGGCACGGAAAGCGAGGAAGACTGTGTCTAATGGTAAGGTTCAGTTCGAAGATCTTTATATGATTAATATATGGCTGAATTACACCGAAGAGGCATTTTTGGACACGCCGCGCTCCTATTTGACAGATGTTGTAAGTTACACCTGAAAGGAGCTTTTTTTATTTTTTATATATATAATAATAATAATAATAATAGAGGAGGTGTGGCACATGTCTTCCTCCCACTATTCATAATTACAACAATTAATATTTATTTAAAATTAAATCTCAGTTTGACCTTTAGTTCGGGAAGCAGTGTATTAGACAATTAAACCATATTATTTTACAATATTCCACCATTTTGAGGCTGGCGTGACCTCTTTGAAAGCAGCTTGTAACCCATTGTCCCTGGTTGAATATCAGAAACATATTCAACCAGGGACAATGGGTTACAAGCTGTTGCGGGAACAGCTACGCCTCTCGGATTGCTAAATTTGATTGTTACATTTTAACTAGTAAAGTCTGAAGAGGTGAAACTGTATTTTTAGAGAAAAAACCAAAGATTTGAGTAGCAGAACAATACTTTTTCTTCTTTCCGGTCCTGTTAATCATTTAACCTATTTAAATCTGCTGTTAACCTGTGATTTGTTTTGTTTATTACTGTTATAATGTCATCTCTCTGCCTTGTTACTGCTTTTATTGTTTGTCTTTACCATTTAAAGGGCCTTTGAGTACCCTTTAAAGCCCTATACAAATAAAATGTGTTATTATTATTATTATTATTATTATTATTATTATTATCTTGTGACCCTCTTAACGGGTCCTCATCCCCACTTAGATACCAAACCCTATACGTGTCCTTCTCGATCCAGGAGATACGCTCTGTGTGTAGCCTACTGGATGATAGTCTACTATCATTTTGGAATGCATTCCTCATAGTTGTCTGCTTGTCCAACAGGTTTCTGCAGTTTTATTTATAGACTTAGGGAGATGGATGTGACAGCGGACAGAGCTTGAATTTAATAATATATAATATATAATATATTTAATATACACTGGCGTGGTTTCCACTGGGTTATACTTTATTTATTATGTATTGGTAGCCTAAATAAATATGTGGGTCAGTCATCAACCAAAAGTAATTTTCAAGACAACATTGATTTTGCTCCATGAACGATCAATCTGTCACTACATATTACTAGGTGTATTACACGTATTTACGCAAGATGATTTATCATGGTGGCCCACAAAAGGACTGACAGATTTCCCTGAACCAAGGTTGATATCTTCAAATGTCTTTTTTTTGTCAAATCAAAAATAAAGAAAGAAAGAAAAAAGTATGCATATTCAGTGAACTATCATATTTTACAAAGAAATCGTAGCAAATCCTCACATTTGAGCTGCAGGAACCAGCAAATTATCAGGTGCTGATTCATGTTTATTGACTATGCAGTTAATTGTTTCAGGTCTGCATAACAATAACACAGGTATATGTTGTATTGATTTGACTAAGAGTACTGTACTTTTGTAGCTCAGGCAGCTATATGCTAGGAGTCATCTCCCTGATCTGAGGAAGTATTGGTGTTGCCATGCGTTTAGGTAATTACAGTGAAACAGTGCACTTTAACAAAACCTCCTCAACTTGTTTCAGGTAGTGTCCATTTACAGAAAAACATGGCAAAGAGCTTTGATGCTACCGATGGACTTTTACCAAACGTGAAGGTACCTCACTCTCTTTACTCATTAATGCACAAACAAACACACACACAATTTAGTGGCATTTATCATCTTCTTTATGTGTCACTAAAAAGGTACACGCAATCGTATTGTCCTTGTAACCTGATAAACTCTTCATTCCGTGACAGATAGCCATCAAGTGCAGCCAGTTCCATCGGCTACTTTGCATATTTAGGATGTCCTCTCTTTGAATTTTGTACCTACCCATTGTAAAAGAACTGCATGGACGTAGTGTGCTGTAATTTGAATGTAGTCAAATGGTGTGCTGCTGCTTTATATTCAGAGCCTCCAGCCCATTTGAATGAATCACTGTGTTTTTAGCTCGAAATTCTAGTTAATTTGTGACTTTTAAGTGTCAGCTCGAGGTGTACGGAGCCCTGAAACTGGCAAGATAAAATAAACAGAGTTATTATTGATTTTGCCAACTGATAAGTGGTAAAATAAAACACTAATCAAAAATATATTTTTGTGATGCAGCACAGTCACAGTAGGCATTGGTACATTGTATAACTCAACAACTAATTCATTAATTTTGACTCTTTACTGGGATCATAATGACCTTTTGTACAGTAAAGTAGAGTGCAACACTGTGCAAGTTGGACTACTCTGACATTTGAATTTGAAGTCCTCCCAGAGGAATTTGAAGTGAGAGTACCAGCAGAATAAACAAGTATTAAAGTGTGGATTGTGTTTTCTTTTCACAGGTAAATGGATTGGGCCTCACCCACCGCTCTCCATCAAGCAACAATGTGCGGAGACCACCATCGAGGAGGGTGGAAGTGTCTCCACCACCGAGCCCAGAGTTACAACGCATTCGCTTCAATCATAGTGCCTCCCGCTATGGGATGTACACCCATCCAGGACACAGTCACTCACACAGGACGAGCACTATGGTGGACTACTCACTTGGATCGGATTCATTTCGTCGCTATGCCTTCTCAGAGGTGCCCAGTGGCACGCGGCCGCTCGCATCCACATCTGCACGCGGGACCCTCCATCGGAGGTCACTCAGAAAGACGGCAGCAACGCAGCCTGTGATTGCGAACGCAGCGTTTCAGCGAAGCGGTGATTACGACTCCCGCTGGAGCAATAACCAGACTATCGTCAAACAGGAGAAACGCACTGTGCGGGGACAAAGTGGTGATAAGATGTTTGGTGCTATCCCGGCCGAGGAGGGCTTGCCCTGGTTGGCTCAGGTCAGGAGGGAGGGGATCCGCAGAATGAATTCATACCCGCCCTCGGTCACCAGCGTGGAGGTGGACATGGGGAGGTGGATGGAAGTTGAAGTTCCCATCCAGCAGATACATGCTCAGAATATCATGACACTGTATGCGTGTGTGTTTGTTTCTCTTAATTCAATAATTTGACATATTCTTGCATTTTCTTGATGTGCCATGAAGCAAGTATTTTGAGACATTTGCGGATGGAGCAATTTCATTCATAGCTGTCTTCTCTCACACAGGCAGTCAGAGGTCAATCCTCCGGAGATGACGTTGGAGAGGGCCGTGAACCTGCTTACCCAGGATGATGAGGACACGCTGATCTCTGCAGCCAGCCACATACAGAGTCAATGTTTCAAGAGTGCTGATGCTAAAAAGATGGTATGTTTACTCATGTGCATTGTATGATAGTGCAGTAGCATTTGCATCCTCCAGACACTTTTTCACAGTTTGTAGGCTTTGCTGTCACATTTCAACAGAGACAAGCCAAGTTAAGTTGTGTGAAATAGCTAATCTAATTTAGCTATGTGGCTTTGAAAGTGATATCAGCCCTTTCATGCGCTAATAAATGTCTTTGCTAGCCGAGGTAAACATTTATCGTGTAACGCTCTCTGAATGTGATGGCTGGCGTAGATTCTGCATCCGTGTGTCGATGAATCTGTCAATCAGCAATACCCTCTTGTTTCCAGGTGTACTATCTCCGTGGGATTGGAAAGCTCTTGCAGCTCCTGTGCAATGACAATGAGGTGGTGCAGCGTGTCGCCGCTGGTGCTCTGCGCAATGTTGTTTACCAGAGCAGCGAAAACAAGATGGAGGTGAAGGAAAATGATGGCCTGGCCACCATTTTGCGTGCACTGAAGAGCAGCCATAATTTGGAGACCAGACGAGAACTTACTGGTCAGTTTTTTACTTGGTTTCAATATATACATAACGTCACCCCAACTGGCTTTATTTATTTATTTTTTTTACTGTGTAAAGAAGCTGTCAGACCTTAACATTTTGAGATAAATGTCTTTGCCTTTTATAAAGTATATATTTCCATCTCACTCCTAGGTGTTTTGTGGAACCTCTCCTCTCATGACCTTTTGAAGGAGTGTCTCTCCAAAGAGGCCTTGTTGGTCCTCACCCAGTCAGTTCTGATACCCAGTTCTGGCATTTTTGAGGGCGAGAACCCAAAAGACGAGCTCCTAGCTGATGCTGATGCTTTCCACAATGCCACTGGCTGCCTGCGGTAGGCTCCTTTGTTCTCTTTGAAAGTAGATACTCAGCTATTGCTAGCATTAGCTAAATAGCACTGCTGAGGCTGATGGGAACGTCATTAGTTTTGCTGGTATTTAGTCATAAACCAAAGTATTAAACAAATTGAAATGACCAATAGTTAAATCACAATGTATCTGCTGTGGTCTAAGACTAAGGCGTTAAGATCATCTCTGTGTTTACCAAGCGGGGGATATCAGACTCACTGCTCCCTAGGCAACCGGGTCAAATGAGTGAACGACTGAATTATTCATCGAGCTCTCTCCTCTTTCTGCTCGGCTGCGCTGAAATCACTCAGTCCTCGCTGGTTATCAAGTTCTCCTAAGCATGGTCCCCGGCCTTTTGAGGTCCCTGTGGAAGAGAAAAATGACGAGTTCCTCTTCAATTTATATTTCATCACTGCACAAAGAACATATTGTGTGGAGTCAGAATGTTAATTGTTGTATTTTCCTTGGGAAGTTGGATTCCATGAAATGTTTTTATTTGTCATGATTGCTACTGGCTTTGGAAAGTGCTGCGATCCAAAACAGTGCATCCATTGACTTTTTACAATTATGCGGTTGACAGGAGGGGACCTCGTGATTTTTTTATTTGTTTCACTATAATGTGGGACTTTTCTAATATGGTGCAGTGGGAATGAAAACTGTGTATCTGATTGAAACACACACACAAATCACATTACCTATATTGTTTTGACTGTTTTTTCTCTCCAGAAATCTGAGCTCTGCTGGTCCAGATGGCAGGAAAGCAATGAGGGAGTGTGAGAACTTTATTGACTCACTGGTCTACTACATCCGTGGAGCCATAGCTGACTATAAAACCGATGACAAGGTGAAATGACAATGAGATTCCAGAGAAAATGTTCACAACAGACTTTACTTTGTGACCCACACTTCTTTCTATTCTGTAGTGCATATCAAGTTATTCACACAAAATCACATTGCTTCTCACTGGATTAGAAAAATCCAAACATAAATAGTTCATGGAAACTTGGATCCAACTTGCAAAGCAAAACTGCTTGAACTATACCCCTATACTCCCATTCAAGTTTCAGTATGTTGTATCTCGGTGATTTAACAGCCTACCATACTGTATTTAATTTGATATTTATCTCTATATCTGCTCGGAAGTCCACAGAGAACTGCGTCTGCATCCTTCACAACCTGTCTTATCAGGTCGAGGCCGAGCTTCCCAAGAAGTACACCTTGGATCTTCGAAATTCTCAACAAAACTTGGCTCCCGAGCAGAAGGTTGTTGGGTGCTTTGCTCATCGCAGTGCCAAGATCACAGAGGTAATCCCATCGGACAAATAATCCATATTTACAAAAATCCCCCATAAAACATCGTCTCAGAAGCCGATCATATTTCTCTTTCTCTTATATTATGAGCGGGGAGAGAAACATCAGAGCAAAGGATACGTTTTACACTCCTGCTCTGTCGAGTGGGTCTGCGCTACCAGCAGAAATACCTGCTGTTATAAACTTGTTGTCGCAATGCTTCATTAAAGCTAATCTAATCAACATTTTAACGTTAACAACATATCAAATAACTGCGTGTAATATAAAAGGAGTTGCCTGTAGTCAGAAACCCAGAGAGAATTATCACCAACTTTGTGTGGAACCTATTTTCCTCCAAATACTTTACTGTCTAATCCAATCTTTTTTAAAGGGATACTTTAGTATTGCACGTCAGACTTGCAACAGATGCCGAGATGTCCTGCCTTTTTGTCCCTAGGATGAATCAAGCGCCAAAAACACTGGATCATACACTTCCCATAATGCCCCTTTAAGTGTCCTGTAATGTGACATATTTGTGAGTGAAATATGTCACATAATAGAGTGTCTTTAGAAATCTAAACAAAGTGTTTGCTGACTTAGATCCAGACACACACTAAGCTACTATGATATTGCTCTGTTAGCTACTACCACCGATAAGGTAATGGTGAAGTGTGGCTTTATTCATATTTGACTGAGTACATACATACTGTATACACACCCGACATCAAGAATATGCATCAAAACTATAAAACTTTTGATTTAATGAAACACTCCTCACGAGTCTTTGCATGTCAATCAGACCCCTTAAACAATCATCTGCATTGCAGCTACTCAGTGACTGCATTGGACAGAGTGAATTCTTTATGATGATGTGACATTACAGCATGATGATGCTGCAAAATGGCATTAATGCTCAGCCTTTTCCTGGTTAAGCAAACTTAAAATGCACAATAAGAGATAGAAGAAGAAGAAGAAGAAGAAGAAGAAAAAACAAGACAAAAGAAGTTACGTAAATCAGTTATTGTTAATCTGCTTAATAGCTGCCTATTGTTGAACCCAGTGATGAGAAATCAACTGCAGCTCATAAACTGTTTCCTCCCAGCAGTTGGAGCGACAGTGCCCCCTGCTGGAGGAGAAGGCTAACCCCCGAGGCATCGAGTGGCTGTGGAGTGCCATCACTATCCGCATGTACTTGTCACTGTTGGCCCGCAGTGTGCGTCACTACACCCAGGAGGCTGCCATCGGAGCCCTGCAGAACATCACAGCTGGGAACGGAGCGGTAAGATGGGACGGATGTCAACTTTCTGTTTCTAGTTAGAGTTTTGTTCTGTAAAGACAAAAGCACTTAGTTTAAGGATTCACAATTAAAAAAATGATCGTGGGCAAAAAACAGTCTGTTGCACTGTTTTACTCCTGTGTAAAACAAATATTGATGTAAGCAAACCTTTTATCAGCGACATATATCAATTGTTAATATGTATGAATACAATTCAAAGTAGCACATTTGATACATTTTTCTGTGGCCTGACAGGTGACTGAAGCCATCGCCTTCACTATTGTTCAACGGGAAAATGGCCTTCAGCATGTCAGGAAGATGTTAGAGGAGGGAGAGAGTAATGTGAAGAGGATGGCCATATCTTTATTAAAAAACCTCTCGCGCTACCAGGAACTGCACCCTGACATCGGTAACTGTTTCCATTACAAACTGAGATACTTTGAGTTATTTTCCTCCACCAAGAATTTGATTGCCGACCATTTTGTCTCACTTTGGACCACGAGCCGCACCTTCTAATTCCACACACTTTCCCATTTGTTTCCTCCTCCTGAAGTGAAGCAGGTGTTGCCAGAGGTAGTCGGGATGCTACCCAACGACGACACCGGCACCGACCTGCCGACCGAGGTGACGGCTTCTCTGTGTCACACCCTGACTAACCTGAGTCAGAGTGACACGCAGCACGTCAGAGCCGTCGTCAACCAGGGAGCCCTCAAAAAGATCATCAACATCAGCAACAAGGACAACGGGTTAGTCTCATTAAGAGCTCTTCTATGACACTGAATCGTTTGCTGTTTGATTATTATCACTGTATGAGTTATGACTAATGTATGAGGACCACCTCCCATTTTCACCCAGAAGCAAATGGTAGCAATTTTTTTTATTTGAACTTTTAAATGTCCTAGTTATGGACCAACCAGAGCGGGTCAGGCTGCTTGCGTCTTGCTGCACACCATGTGGAATCACAGTGATCTCCATGGAGCCTACAAGAAGGTGCGTTCCTACTATATCCATGCAGCACATTACAGTACAACACATGCTTTCTTAAAGGATAACCACCCTGTACTTGTCACTCATCTAGGCTCTGCACACAGTGATTTTATTCATTAACAAAACTCATCAGTCATCTGTTATTTAGGTCTGTTGTTGCCACAGTGTCTTTTTCTATACTGCCACTGGGGGGCACCAATGTGAAACAAATTCAATACATATTGGATTTTAAAAACCTCTGCAACACAACATAGATACAGTGTCCATAATCCACACTTTGTCTCTCAACAGTGTGGCTACAGGAAAGCGGATTTCATTAATGCGAGGACAACAAAGGCTGTGAACGCCAGATGAGACTGAGCCGAAGATCTATAGCAAAGTCAAGCTGCACCTGTTTACAACAACGGCAACAATCATTGGTTGCAACACTCTTCCTCCTGTAATGGGCCGCCTACAATATGCCTACATTTCCCTTAAAGGTCCCATGAAAGGGCTTTAAAGCTGTACAAGAGCAGGATGATAAAGTAACGATTTACAGAACAATAAACTTGCTTACACAATACGTTTCTTTGTTTAGTTCCTTATTAGATACATCAGATGCATCTTAATGCCGCATTGTTAGTAAAACTGACAGAGGAATGTAGAAACCTTTCCTGAAAATGCAAAGTTTCTCTAATGAAAGTGAATGTATTTCTTTATGAGTGTGTAGTTTGTTTACTGCAGTGGAAGCTCAACAGTTGAGAAAACTGTTTTGTGTGTTTTGGTTTATTTTAGCATTTCAGGCGACACAGTAATTGAGCAACAAGAACCACAATAAAGAGATTCAAATATTCACACTAAAGTACTCGGGAAGGATGAAAATCAAATCAACAGCCTTATTTCTGTCAAACCAATGAACTGTTTAATGAATAAATGTATATAAAATGTGTTTTTTGAATAGAATGACGTCCTACTGTAACACACATCAAAAACAAGCTGATTTATTGCCGTGTGATTTGATTCCTCTGATGAATAAACTGTTTTGAATGAAACTTATTATTTACTGTGTTCTGGTAAACTTTGTTCAGTACAAAAGCTATAAAAAAAAAATAAAAAAAAGAAGTAGAAGAACTGTTTGATTATTATGCGCAGTAAATTATTTTCCCCTAATAAATCACTCTTAACTTTATAATGAGGGCGGAAAAAAAGGTCACTCACTGGTTAGGCGTTATTTGATGACGAATGACTGTTTTGCAAAGTCTATTAATATACTGGAAATATCCCTGCTAAAGGTTCAGAGAAAGAAATTTCCGTGAAAAGGTTGCCTCATTTATCAAAAACTATCAATATTATTTTTATATATATATATATATATATATATATATATATATATATATATATATAAACTTGACTTGCAGTGCAAGGACAAGATGAGAAATGTAATTGTAGGAGATGAGGAATGTTCAAGAGCCTAAGACATCTGATGTTTGGTGTGTACACTCACCCGTCAGGCCCGTCTCTGTGACTTTGAGGCCCTGAAGCAGCGTTAACCTTGCAGGGACCTGGCAAGAGCTGCACTGCGGTACAGATGAAGAGGGGGGGGGGGGCACAGAATGATGCAATGATACACTGGACTAAGATCAGAAATTGTGTGTGACAGAAATTGATAATGAAATACAGGTGAGCATGTGTAGAAGTCACAGCTCACAGGAACTGACAGGACCCTCATCCTCAGAGCCTGGGTGGTCTTGCTCAAACTTTTCTAAATCAAATTAACGAAGCAGGCAATTACAGCTTTGTATCAGTGACTGTCCTCTCCAGTCTGCATCTGCACGTACACAGGACATAATGTAGCATGACGTGATGGAAAACAACTTTTGAGCACTCGTATGGTTTTCTCTCCCCTGTTTTCTGGCCTTGTTGAGCTGAAAGTTGTTATATATCTAGAAGTGCATCTGATATGATCCAAACTCATGTGTGCATCTATTACAAGACAGGCAACGCAAAGTAATTCTCAAAGGAATAACTGAGTGGATCCACCTTTCCGATGGGATTCATTAAAGATGTAGAATCCTTTTAAATCCAGTAAGGGCGATGCAAGTTTGTTGTTGTTATATCCTGCAGAGGGCAGTGGTGTAGCATTAACACAACTGCTCATCAGTCACCTCAAAGCGGAGCAGAGAAAAGATCAGTTTTGATCTGTAAAATGTTCCCCAAGTGGTACTTTGTTCCCACATTTATTTCTCATATTCATAAACTCCTCATCCCAAATGTTTCAAAGTGGTTTATCTCTCAGATTAAAACCCGAAGTCTTTCTATTTGAGGAACTAAACTCTGCTCTTTCCTCTTTTTCGCTCATAATCTCGAATTCACCCACTATGTGAACTATTTTGGTGATAAAGTCCTCGATTTCCGAGCTGTGGTTTTGGCGCAAGGAGAGAAAAAAAAAAGCTCCGAAGAAGCCAAATCCTTTTAACAATAACCTACTTGTCTCTCTACAGTTTATGAGGATTGGTCAATTTTTTTATTTCACAAGGAGGGCCTCGTTCTCTTTTAATAGGATTAATTAGATGACCAGACTGAAAGACAAAAGTCGATTAAAATCAACACATACATGGTAATTTCACGCTCAAAAGCACCCAAGATAAGTTTCTTTCCTTGTCGGTATCAGCCAGTGTGTGAGGGATTAACCCCCCTGAAGCCTGACGACCAACATAGAAATATTACATGTCCAAAACACCAAAATAGCCAACAGTAGCAGGTGTCAAGACACATGCGAATGGGTTTGTTTTGCTCCTGGAGAAGAGTGGAGTGAAGAGGACCATACCACATAATGACTGTGTTATGTTTAGTAGACAGAGCTCAGAGACAAAGAAGGGATTCTTTCACAGGACCAGCAGCAGTGGAAAACAAGCTGAAGGGAGGCCAGTTTCACTTTTTTTTTTTCTCATTACACTGACGCAATTGTCGACATGTCAGCACTCAAATTGCTTTCTACTGACATAATCACTCAAGAACATTGGGGATCTAACATGAAGTGATTTTTTTTTTTTTTTTTGTTTTGCAAACTCGGCACAGCATGTTCTTGGTTTCCTGGGAATGCATACGTGCTTTTACCTCTCTGATCTTAAGGGAATGTCTGGAATGAAGTACTACCCTGTAATGTCACAAAGTCAGACACAGCATGCTTCGCGTTTTAAGTCGGGACCAGACGGTTTTAAGTACGGAGCTCATTGCAGCTTCAGAAGCACTGTAGACACAGCTGTGCCATGAAATGTGGGAGAACTGTGTTAATTGTTCACTGAAGTTAAAAGAATATTTTAAAAAAATAACTAAGAAAAAAACATTTAGCACAACAAAAAATACAATAGAAAACAAAACAATAGAACTGATTCCTGCCCACTTAACGAAGCAGCTACCATTGTAGTTTTATACTTGATTGATTTCAAGTTTAAAATCCTCCACGACTACTACCACCACTAACAAGCTCAGCTGTGGGCCTGCCTGCTCATTAGGGGACATTGCCTTTAGCTGTGCTGAGTTTTTAAAAAGCCTCAGTCTACTGGAGCACATGGTCACTTGTGCTGTGGGTGAGATAGTGTGTTGTGCACTCTTTTTTTAATTTCTGGCTCAGAAATATATTTTGGCAGCTTGGAAGTCAACCCAAACCAAGCGCCCCTTTCTTTTTTTGGCTCAACACTGTCTCTTTAGAGAACCCATGTCCCCCTAAAGTCCAGTTATTTTTTTTATTTTTGTATCTGTGTTTGAGTTAATCTCTGTCATGGGGAGCAGCAGAGGACTTGGTCAAAGCACAGCTAATTAAAAACATCCAAGTTTGCCAGATAACAGACAGCCTCCTGATATTCAGTCATCAACTTGCAGAAAACAAAGAAATCACTAAAACAGGGAGGCAGAACAGTCTGATTGTATGAAAGTGAGACAAAGGTTTCACCAGTTAGTGAGACCCTCCCTAGACAAAGCACAATTTCCCAAGGATGTGCAGTCACATGAGCTGAAGCTAGACATTAAAAGATGTAAGATGACAGCAGAGAAATCCCCAAAATCAAGCAATGGAAAAAGCTGGAAAAAAGAGTTTTGGTTGTGACAAACTGATTAATGTCATGTTTAAAAACAAATGAGGTGCATTTTCCTCTGACATAATATAATTATCAACGTAGAAAAGGAATTCCCAACCATAAAGTCGCAAATACCACAAGGGGTAAGGGTAAGACTTTCTACTTTATTTTTCCTTTTGAATTACTAGATAACTTTACTACTTCAGAGAAGCCCAAAAGGCTGGGAACCACTGGTTTAAAACGTATATATTCACTCTGAAAATGATGGGATCAGAGCCTCTCCCCACAGCCCAACACCAATACTTTATGTTGCCCCCTTTGAATTGTAGTCTAAGCCTGATACTTCTCTCACAATTTCAAGTCACCAGACAACAGGCTTTAGTGTTGGAGCATTAGTGTACATAAGATGCAAAGAACGGACATTCAGTGGCAGAGTATAAACTGGCATGAGACATGCTTAGATGAGCACAAAGGTGCAGTCCTTACAGATAAATATGCTTTTTGCTTTAAAACAAGGTGTAAAACCAGAAAATATTGGCACTTAAACCATTTTTAAAAGTCCTCTACTATAAAGACAAAAAAATGAGGACCAATTACTGACATCACTGGTGCATGTTTTCTTTGGGAAGACAAAAAAGTTGTTCAGTGTCCTCGAGTCTTTTGCTAGAACACAATTTATTTTAATGTACAAGGTTCCTCTTCCCCTTAGTTTCAGTTGTCTCATATGTCTTCAGGGTGATGCAAATGTCAAATACTATAGAAGTAAAATATGTCAGCCTGAGTCATAAAATAGAGGAGAGAAAATCACTTCACTACTTGAAGAGCAAGGAGGGAGCCAAGGAGGGAGCCAAGGACTGCACGTACTTCTGAGGTATTCCAGCAATGAAACCTGATAGATGCAGTCAGCCAGGTAGAAAGACATCATATGCAGGTGAATTCTCAGATCTCGAGGTCTGCAGAGGTGACAAAAATGAAAAGTCCTTTTTGGAATTCAGAGAGTAAGAGTGCGTGCTTGAGTCCTGATTGATTGGGGTCAAGGAGGTTGTGTCGTGTCTGGCGCAGAGAAGGCATTTGAAGAGTTTGATCAAAAGAGTGATTATAGTCTGTAGGTCCAAGATGGGTCAAGCGCAAGCTTCTTGACTTGATGGCAATCAGCCACATGGATATCAGAAAAGGCAGAAGGTCAATGTCAGGGGTCTGAAAGAGGGACAACAATGTAGACAGAGAACTTGACTGGTTCTGCTCGACACAAATTTCAAGAATTTGTCAGGGTGGTGAAGAAAGACAAGGAGTTTAATTTACCTCTCAAACTCAGAGGAAAATTAGCAGTGGAGGATTTAAGAACCATCCTGGGTGTCTTAAAGAGTGTGCAGTTGAAAATATATCTTTAACTTGATATGAAGGTCCAGGAGTGGTTAGACCAGCTAAATCTAAAAAGTGTGTGTGAAGTTGGTAGCATTAAAGTGTAGCTGTGGGAAATATGACTGAGCTAACCTAACTGACTTTATTAGGCAATCTAGAAAAATGTTATTGCATTACTTTATTTGAGTTAAGTGATTTTATTTTTGTGATGTGTGTAGTTCATAATCTTCCCAGTCTGGACCATTAGTGTTTGGTCAGATATTTTGCTTATAGGCCAGCCCAGTACCATGGCAGGTCGTGAAATAGTCACGAAATGCAATCTATTGGTCTTATGTACATGTCATGTTTTCGTGGTGACACACGATTACACACATCCAAGTGACTATGCAATGGTCAGAGTAGTGACGTATTAAATGTAGAGAAAGATAACAGGGCTTTCAACCACAAGATTGTTGTTTGACACCGCGTGGCCCAAAGTATTGTTGTGGTTCTGTTGCCTCAACCTAATGTTTGTTTTGTTACCGAGACCTAACTGTATGTAGCTGTTTTAAGCCCAATCATGATGTTTTTCCTAAAAACTCAGTGGTTTTGTTGCCCAAACCCAACTTTCATTTTGTAGCGGGATGTCTTTTACTCCTCATTCAAAAATAGCTCAGACATTAGCAAGCTAACGTTAATTCTACCTACATTTAATTTAGCGACGCAAAACCTAACGGAGTGTAATAAAACTCATTTTATGTGGTGGTGCGACCAGTTTTAATTCAGTAACCGATAAATCTCCACTTTAAGCACTTATACATTATAACTAGGTTTGTACTTATGAAGAGCAGGTGCAGCTGCACACAAGCACAGGTGTTTTCACATGTCCTAGCTGATTAGACCTCCGCTTCATGCTTGGTGGAGTCATGCAAGGAAGGAGTGTCTAATGAGGCAAAGTGACAACACCTGTAAAGGGACCATAATGACTTCTGTTTCTTTCAGACTGAAATATGGTGTTTTGGACTTCAAATGCTCTACCTACACAACGCTTTATCTTTCTGTGATGAATAACCAAGCTTTTGCTTTACTTTTAAATCATGACCGTGACGCTATATAAGCAGGAGCCTGTCAATGGTGCACATTCATTTTAAAGACGGGGCTTTAAATCCTGAAAGTATCTTGTCAAACGTTTTCACCACTGCCTGCAAGAAAACATCAATCCCATATGGCTCGATTGTCACAACAGCTGAACCATATGTTGGGGGATTTAATTGCTGAGTTTGGTTCTAAATTGATATGTAGGCCGACAACGCTGGAGCGATCGAGTGCTATTATAATTAAAGCTGGCTCGAAGCAGAACCATATTGTGGGTTTTATCAAATTTATGGCTCATGTAAAGACATTTGCAGAGAAAATGGGTTTGCCAGAGACGGCCTAATTGAGCGTCAAAGAACAGATTAAACACTAGATGCAGCAACTGTTGTGTGCAAGTGTTGTGCACAAAAATAAAAAGTCCTGCGTGATATCATACACATCATATCTGCACTGAAATTTACAGTATACTGAAAAGCTGAAGGTCATCTGTGAGTTTGCTTTATCAGCAGAACAGGCGGCTGTCATGATTAATGCCGTGAGACACGAGTGTGGCTGGAATTTAAATAAGGACACAGACACGCACATGCATCACACTTTTTAAGAAAAGACTTCTCTTCAAGTAAAACACATCTCTCAAATATAACATGCTGCTGTTCTCATAAGGCAGAATTATCACAGATGTGCATATAATGCAAATGGCCAGTCGGTGATATGTCACAGCTGCAATAAGAGCACTGAGAAGTGAAGCTTAGTGGCTGTTGCCATCAGGATGGGAATCATTTCACTTGAATTATAGATATTCTTTTTATAAATCTTTTAAGAAACTATTGAAGAACTGAAATCTTCGCAGAGCCTCCAGGGTAGAGCGCTAACTTTAATATGTTTTTTGACTTTGAGATGGGAATGACGTCATTTTTGTTCAGTCTCAAAGTCAAATTTCTAAGTTTTTATCCAAAACACTCCATGAAAAAGATCTGTATTGAAAAGCAACCTTTTCAAAGGGGAATTTAAAGTCCCCTGTGTTTTGCTTGTTGTTACATTGATGGATGTTTGAGCTTCACTGTGCAGAATGACGTAGGCGTATGTGTGCAGAGTTTGACACCAGAAGGCTGTTTTCACAAAGTTTCTCTGTGCGCACAAGAGTTCAGTTTTAAGACGTGTATATGTGCGAGCAGGTTTTTGTGACATCACAACTAGTTTGGAGCCAATCACGGGTCAGTATGCAACTTCCACAAGTTCGGTGTGGAAACTTTAACCGAGAATATACTTTTCAGTGATGTAGATGACATCAGTTGTTAAAGTTTGGAAACATATATTAATACGCATGTTATTATGGATTTGTCAACAAGGGAGAAGGAGTGGAGTTGGGCTAGATGTCGTGAACTACTTTAAACTAGGTCATTTAACTTTTCTTTGGAAAAACTTTCAGATAAATTCAATGCAGTATTTTTTCTTTACTTATATACCAACATTAATTAAAAAAAATAATTTTAATTGAAAACAGAAAATAAGAAACTGCACAAATCCTAAAGAAATAAAAACGAATAAATAAACGCATACCCCAATTGGATTGTGACATGAACAACCATGCAGATAGAAATATGTGAACAACACTTTTTATTTATGGATACAATGTCACCCTGAAAACGCTGCTTTTCACCTGACAAATATAAACTGCCTATATATAAATCGCTGCAATGTTGCTTCTCGGATCAAAACCGCTTCAGCTTCTGTGTGACTGCAAAGTGCATCTCGGGGTCCATTTGCGTCGCGTTGCAGCTTTAACCGGTCCATCATGCCTTGCGGTGTCCCAGTTCAGTTCCGATGCAATTTACAACGCGCCCTGTGGTCTTCCCACACTGGCGGGGCAGAGCAGCGGGCTAACAGGCGCAGCGGCAGATGTTGAGAGCCCCATGTCGGATGTCCAATAACCGGCTGGACGCATGTTTACATCCACACGGGTGATACAGGCGGGGGACGTGCGCACACCGTTAACTCTAATGCAGGCTCGGATCAGCGCGGAATAAACAGGATCTCCCGCATGTAACCCGCAGAACAAGCAGCTGAAAGTACTGGATTTTTTTTTATCCCAGAGAGAAACACTGAGGCTACAGCACAACTGCAGAGTTTAAATGCTCTTGCACACAGTGATCCAATGCTGAATACAGGTATGTTGTTGGCGATTTACGCTGGACTGAATGCAGTCAATGTCTCCAGCTTGAATGCGTCAGTCTAGGCAACATTTAAAATGTGCTGCCAATAAGACAAGGTTTGTAGGCTATTAAATGACCTCATTTATATCATTTCATTGTGAATGTCCAGTTTGTTATTTATTTGGAAGACGGGGAAAAAAACAGAGCTATCACTGGTCAGCTGGAGTTGCATAACTTTATTTCGCAATTGGGTCAGATTTATTCACGTATTTCCTCTTTATCCTCCCTTTTTGAAATACTAACGTGGTAGACTATTTTACAACGTTTATACATTCACACAAGAATACATCCTTAAATGGGAGTGATTGTGGTGTTCCACATGGTGACATACTTGATGCATGAGCCAGCAGGACATTAGTGAGTGGTCAGTGGATCTGCTGAGCCCTGAGCAATGATGAATCTCTTTATAGAGTTGGGCAATAAGCGCTCACTCAGCAGTGGCTTTAATCAGAGTTCCTTCATCTGAGTAGTAAGAGAGTAGGAAGTCCTTGAGGCGCACCTGTGATATGGAAGCAAGGGAAAAAGTCACTGATATTGTGTTTGTGGCAGGAACAATGAATATAAAAACAATGAAAGAACAGTTTATTCATGTGTGTGCAGGACAATATAACATATAAAGTTATGTTATTGCACTAGAGAATTTGGCTTCTGCAAAAAAAAACTTTTGTAGTTGAGAGATATCCTGCCCCATGTCTCCTGTTTGGATTGTGTCTAATAGATGTTTAAAGACCATTTCTTGTCAAATAAAATGCGAACTAATAGCAACTAGAGCAACTATTATTTTCTCGATGTATCTTTTGGTCTATAAAATGTCAAAGAATACAAAAAAATACCTGCCACAATTTCTTAAAGCCCAAGGTGTCGCCGTCAAATTGCCTGTTTTACCATACTAACAATTTCTGAACTTGTATATATTCAGCAGCAAATCCTCACAAATGTATTTAATAATTAATTGATAGTCAAAAAATTGCTTGTTAATTTTCTGTTATTTGCTAATTAATGAATTGCTTTAGGTCTGTATAAGATAGCATTAAAAAAACTAGAACAAACAAAGTATTTTTATCACCTTTTTAAAATAGAAAGCTGGACATCAAATCTCTGAATCAAAATGATTGATCTCACAATGCTTAGCTATCTAAACTAGTAAACATGTCCAACATGCGCTCCTAAAGCACAAAATGTAGACTTTGCAGTGTGAATCCAGTCCAGACTCCCCCTCCCACCACCTCCATGTCAGCTAAGCTCCGAGTCTTACAGGGTTAAAGGCTTATTGTCTCCACCAAGCTGATTAGTTTTAACTTTTGAGACTGCAAGGTGGCAATTTGGTCACCCCAACTTCAATATGGGGATTGATCCCAGCACTTGTGGAAATTCAATAAATATAAAGCTGAGTTATATTTGAATTTTTTCCCATATGTCTTCAGCAGTTTAACAACTTATTTATGCACATGCTAGTGGAAAGTGTGATAAACACATGTCCACTGCCATATCAGGTGTTTTCAGATTAAGATGTCCACCAAATGGCAGGTGTTGCATCCACGTAAAACTCCACTGCCTGTTTGTTCACAGGAAAATCTTCCGTCGTATCCCGAATGGAAAGCTGTTCTGTCCGATTACTCCCTGGATCTTTTCACTCAGCTTATTCCAGCTTTGTGTTTAACCTGCAGCCACCTCACTCTCCTCAGCTGACAAAGTTGATGTGGAAGTAGCACACAGCTGCAGCTAACAGAGCACTCATGGAGAGATTGAAGCAGAGGTCGTAAATTGAAGAGAAAATGGGAGGTTGCAAGGTGTCTTGTTTTGATCCAATTTCACGTTTGAATCATTTTGATGTCTTTGTCAGACTTCAGGGTGGACTAACAGTGTATGTAGTGGGAACAGAGAGGAGAAACAGGAAAGATGAGATAGTGTTGTATGATATGAGGCTGTGTGCCAACTCCAAATCACAAAGTCATGAGCATAGTACTGCGAGGGCTGCTGAGCCCCCCGCCACGCTCAATCAAGAAAAGTGACAATTTGTCCGAGGACACGGGTCAAATCCTAATTTAATTAGCTTTTCATGTTTGAAAAACCTGCTGACATAAGCATATCTTGTGGCGTGGCTCGTCCACTTTGTTACAGACTGAAACATTTGAACTAGTTTAAAGTTTACTTTGTGTTAAGTCCTTTTTAGCAAATGTTAGCGTGCCAACACGCTAACTACAAAGGTGAACATGGTAAACATTGGGCCTGACGTCAGCAGATTTAGCATGCTGCTGTTAGCATTTAGCTCAAAGCAACGCTGGGCCAAAATAATGTCTCACAGAGCTGCTGGCATGGCTGTCGACTCGTGTTCACATATTTGCTTTGGCTAAAGCATCCGAGGCGTTATATTCACAGCACTGAACATACTTGCTGTGTATGTTTTACCTTTTTTATAGTTTGGAAAAAAAAACTTACGTTGACTTGTAATAAATAAGGTGTGTGTTTATTCACTTAAATTGCTTGTACAGCCAGAGATGAATTTCCCCTTTTGGAGGTCAACTAAACTGCATGCCGGCTCGCTTAATTTCCACCAACAGACAAACTCCTGAGCTTGAGAAACCCCGCTGCTGCAGTAGTAGTATACACCTCCACGTTTTCTCGCAGCCCACATTCAGAGGAAACAAAGAGGAAGTGACAGGAAAGTAGGGGTTGCTTCTTAATTGTTAGTGATTGTTTGGTCTACTTTCCCAGACCGTGCCCTCCAATCAATCCAGTCATCTGTGTAAGGCCTCGGACAAAGCCAGAGCCGCGTCGCCATGGTGAGGGATTGTTTGCATCCAGTCATGCCGCTAGCCATGTGGGCTCACACACACACACACGTGCACACACACACACACACACACACACACACACTGCAGCATGCTCTTTTGTCTGTGCACCACTTGTTTCCGTGGACCCCCTCCTGCTGCCTCAGCCTCTTTGTTGCTTTAAAAATTGTCCCCTGATTGCATCATTGTTGTTGTTGAACTGCTCCGTGCTGCTGCTGCTTTAAAACGCCACGTCTTCTTGATACAAAAGTCACTAAAGTCACATTTTCAGGTCTGTTCGTAAAATATAATTGGACTCCGAAGTGTGCTATGCTTTCTGCACGATAGAAATGGTGCTATATTCAATATACTATTAGCAGTTCTTTAAAAAAATACAGCATCAGTACCAAAATATGTACTTAAACACACCTACTTACAACTCGATAGTGTCTCAAAATAACTGAAATAAAAACCTATTTAGGTATATTTCAGTAATTATACATCATTAATACATTAAGTAGATTGTTAGTATGTCAGAAATTGCACACTTCAAGTACAATTTCAGTTAAATTAACCACAATGTATTTATTTCCATAAAGCTTTACCCTTAATAATAATTAGATTGTACAGACACTCAGTAATCATCATTTTGTTGTGTCCTGTTTGTTGTTGGCAGACTGCTGGTGAGGTGAGCCAGGGTTGAAACTTCAATCAATGAGTTTGTTAAAGTGCAATTATAAGTGATGGAGTCAGAGAGCACTGGGCTGAAGCAAGGCAGGAAGTTAACTCTTTGGTTGGTATTTTGAATATAAACCCCTAGTTGGTGTGACATTAAAAGCTTTTCTTTTACATCTTTCAATCTTAACATCGTTGTACCTCTTCAATGCTTATCTCAAATATTAAAGGGGCTTTAAATGGTATTTTTGTGCTGATCCGTTTAATAAATATCCCTCCATGTTTGAAGAATGACGTATAAGAAGCACTGACTTGCCAAAGCTGTCCCCTCCCAAGATCTGCCTTCCTGTGGCATCCTGAGAATGAAACTTTAGTGGAGGCTGACTGAAGTCACCACTAAGTTTAGCTCAACAGTTAAGCAGAGAAGAGACAGTCTTCTTCGTGTGTGAAACCACATGGCAACAGCAAAAGCTGTCCCAAACCACAAATGTCAACCCCCAAAAACATTCATATGTGGTAACTTTGTCTGTTAGAATTGACTGTCCTGGATTCTCTATAAATGGATGACTATGTGAAGGATTCAGTATGCAGTTGGAATGCTTTGGAAAAGGAAATTCCAACGGCACCTTTCCCAAAGGTTCAGAGGTTACTCACTCTGGAGTTGTGTCGCTCAGTCTGACACTAAATATGGAACGTATACATTTACAAGGAACTGGACTGAAATAGAACCACTCGTGTTGCGGCATACTAATTTGTGTACACTCGCCATCTAGCGTGCATGATTTATTTATTCACACTCTGGCAGCGGGGGGGGGGGCTTCAAAGTGACTGTAATTTAAATCAAAGACGTAACCAGCGGAAAAAGTATGGAAATAGCATGATGAAAATTTAGAACAATATCGCAGCAACGGCTGTCGTGAAAGAGGCAACGGAGAGGTGGCTGATGTTCGGGCGAGCCTTTCAGTGATTCGAGTGTTGGAAGTTATTAGCGGGGGTAAAGAAAAATCGAAGCTCGTTTCCACAAGGAAACAGACTGCAGGGTTCATGCTGCTGTGCAGAGAATTCGATTAGTCTGACATTGACCGTCAGGTCACAGCTTCTATATCCTGTGTACTTCTGCTCTCTGGTTCAACATTTAATGTAGATCCCTGTGAAGTCAGCGATTGAGTGGTTAAGAAAATGCTGTTTCATCATCAAAGATCAAAGTATAAAAACCCTATAAGAACATCTGCTTCTGCACAGCTGCCTGCTCCTATAGCCGCTGTGCACTGTTTCTCGCACCTACTAGCATATGTTGTGATATGTGTGTCAGAGGGCCAGTGGGAGCATGTGAGTCAGGGAATTCAGGAAATTGTACAAAATAACAACACAGAAAGGCGTGTTAGTGTGATAAGTTTTTATGTTTTCTAGTTTTGATGGTCATTTTTGATATTGTTAGTGTCTGCAGTAGTGTAGTCAAGAGGTGTCTCCAAGGATCTGCAGTTTTAATTAAATATAACTGTTACCTTGATGGAAAAGGTGACTTGTAGACCTGAAAAGACACTCCAAGCTGTCTTTATGTGGCAACCTGCCCTGCTCGACTCATGTCTCTTTTTTATGTTTTTTATAATAATAATATAATAACGCCTAAATCTTCCACCTTTCATTTATGAGCATTTGCATATTAAAGTCTCTCATATTTGACTCAATTGGACTTCAATGAAATTTGACTTTGCTGCAGCTTGATTTTCTTTCTGTTTTGATAATGGGTTTATGATGATTGTATCACTGAGTTGTGAATGACTTCAGCACGACGTCGCACACAGATGTGCGCATACCAAGTGTGTGTGTGAAAGAGAGAGAGCGATGAAGCAGATTTACAAGCTTGTGTCAACACTTGCTGTTCTTCCTGGTGAGAATTCAATATCGACCGTCATTGAATGAACATTGCATCAAAACATTTCGACTGCAGCTGTGACAGTTTTAAAGGCATAATCACATCATCTGTTCGGATATTGTGTGTTATGAAACCATGTCATGGAGCTTTTGTTATTGCAACAAGTTTGTTTTGAAATAACCTTCAAGTCCAACTTTTCCAATGAACAGTGCATTCAGAATAGAAATGGTTTCACTGAGTAGATCTTTCATTAAACGTGATGTGTTTCCTGCCCTGACTTTCTGCCAGAACTACCACCAAAATAAAAAGCCTTCTTCTTTGCATTGTTGATCCATCTGTCCCCTTACTGTTTCACCTTCATTCCCCCTTAATTCTTTAATTTCCCCCCTCTCTTCCCCCAGTCGGCTGAGCTCTATTCACGGATATAGTCTCATTTACCGGCATCTGGGTTCAGATGCATCTTGCAGTAGCTGTCTGCAGTTACAAATCATCCCGTTCCCCACCAGAGGCGGGCCTTGCCCTTACCAGATGCCTCCAGTGCAGAGGCGTGAGCAACGTAATGCAGTCTCAGTAGGAAAAGGCCTCGAGGGGGGGACCGGTAGTTCAATTGCAGGAGGGATTGGGGTCCCATTCCAGCTGTGATGAAGATGGAAGGCGCCTAAAATGTTAAGGGAGGCCTCAAGCGATATGAAAGTCCAGGATCAGCGCTGAACTGATGGCCCATTCAGGAAAAAGGAGGGCTGCTGCCCAGTAGGGTTGCAAGAGTTTGAGCATTAGGCACCAGCTCCTTCACTGCTCTGTTGCACAGGCCCCGTCGTCGTGGCCTTGCCAGGTTCCTAATGACTGCCTCGCTGCTGAGGTGCTTGTGTCAGCGGTTTGAAATGGCTCTCATTCTGCGTGCATGCAACTGCTGTGAGCTTTCCTGCACCGCCACCAGCAAATGAAAAATATATTGGATGTAGACGGTCACAATCACTGCACCACGAGTGGGTTCTTGCAGCAATTCAACAGCAGCATACCAGGAAACTACTTCAGAGGAACATGTGTTGTAAGTTGTTCGTTTACAGGAGGCTGGTGTCACTCCACCATGTGTTGCTCGTGTTGATATTTTTATAAAGATTTGACCTCTTTCCATCTGTATTGTAGTAAGTGGGTTGTCTAGTGGTTGTAAAGTCATTCTGGGAAGTGTAGGAAATTATAAAGGTTGAAAAAGGGCTAGGGATATGGAGTTTAAGCGGAATGATGTTGATGTTATTGTCATTATTTTGTTTATGTTAAATGCTCCCCTCTGTTCAACAGCTTGTTGCAGGTAACGTATTGTGGGTTTAGAGCATTGTAACTGAAAGCAGCTGTTGCTGCAATGCTGATGAGAGCCATGAGAGTGAACCCAAACAGTAAAGCTTTTTACAAATGTTTACAAGAACAACAAAGTTCATTGCACTCGATGTTTATTTTTTCCTTTTTTAGGGATGGACAGTTAAACGTTATTAGCACCCCCTTGTGGTGTGGAGGAATGAGGGCCTCTGGATGAAGGCCATGGAGCTGAAAGTTTGGGTGGACGGAGTGCAGCGCATCGTGTGCGGCGTCACAGAGTTCACCACATGCCAGGAAGTGGTCATTGCTTTGGCACAAGCCATTGGTAAGCTCAAAAAGACTTCACCGAGTGTTCACAGGTGATCGATACTCGAAAAAGATCTAATGGCACAAGAATATGAGCTGTAGATGTCAATTATTATTGACTATATATATATGAATACACAAAAAAACAACTAATAACATGACAAAGACCACCAACAAGAAGACCCTGTGAGATGAAATCTTCTCCATCTGCCTCCTTAAATTTAAACTACGGTGGTGTGAATAATATTTAGTCCCACATAAATCCTAATGGGGATTTTTATTTGCTATGTGGGTTGTTGGCTATATTGGCCGGGCAGTTTGTCAGAAATACTGGAGATGATAAATTGCAATAAAATGAAAAGTGACTAGAGGGCACAAAGAGATTTTCACCATAAATGGGCTGCTCAAAACGAGATGAGTCATGCTGCAGACTTTGGTCTATTTACGTGCTGTACAATTACAGAGAACTAAGTTGACACTCTGTCTCAATGTTACTTATTGCATGGATTGCATTGTGCTTTATAGCTGTGAAGTCAAGAGCATAATAATATGATTTCATCAAATTGAAGGATGTGTACTGTTTTTAAAATGGACAGATTTTCAAGGTATTTCTCACTAATCCCCAAACATAGATTTTTCTCAGAGCTAAAACCCGTCTTTCATGGTGCCAATGTAGCAGAAATTATGGCGTCCACTGTTCTTTGTGTTCGCTGTGCCTTTTGTCCAGGCCAAGGCACTCTGATGTGAATGGCTGTAGTGATGAATGCGCCTCTTTTACAAGGACCCTTACTGTGTGAGACGAGGGTGAGGGTACGATGGGCAGTGTTTTACTCTTATCTATATTTGCACAGGAAAGAATGCAGGCGTACACACACACATAGAGCTGTGAACCACTGAACATAGCCCTTTTCCCAACACAATCACTGTTTGTTGAGTCGAATGTTCCCACTGTTAAGATCTTTTACTAAACATGATTGTGAAGCTCTTTGAAATTACCAATGCTGCACACGGGTGGGAGAGGTATGTTCTTTCTTGCAAAGCTCTTTGAAGTTAATTTTTAAAGCGTGCTTACAGTAACTTCTTACCAACGGGAGTTTCAACCATGACAACATACACAAAGAAGTACCAAGCCATTAAATGATGCAAGTTACTTTACAGGCCAGAAATCTGCGTGTCGTCAGCAGCACAACAATAAAAGTGAATTGTGTTTGTGATTCATGAGTACAAGGGGGCCAAGAATAGGTCTTTGGGGTACGCCGCGGGTTAAAGGGACCCCCCCAAAGGAGAAAGCAATACCGACTATACAAAGAGAGTTTCATTGAACAAGTTTGAGCTGAATCAGCTGAAGGCATCATCTCTGTTCAAACGCAAAAATAATAAAACAACCCCACAGCCGTCATTTAGTTTTGATTAAAATGTTGCTAACTGGTGATAGGTGGATGGAAGTTTATGACATCACCTGTAACCTGCCACTGAGTCCCGCTCACTTAAAAACAGGGAGAAGAGGACGAGAAAAAAGTTAAATACAAAAAATCTCGAATGAACTAATCAAACCTTTTTGGAAAATGACTGTATTCTGTGATCTTGTAGAACCCCATCGCTCGTGGTAGGAAGCTGATTGAAAATAGATGTTATCATGGCCTTTAAGTTGTCATAAATGTTCTGTAATAAAGCGCCACATGCCTTAAATTTTCTTGTTTTGTCGCAGGACGCACTGGCAGGTACACCCTGATCGAGAAGTGGCGGGAGACAGAACGTCACCTGGCACCGCATGAGAACCCTGTGGTGTCTCTCAACAAGTGGGGTCAGTATGCCAGCGACGTCCAGCTCATCCTCCAGCGAACCGGCCCGTCTGTTAGCGAGCGGCCCACCTCTGACGGGCAGGATCGCGTCCCAGAGCGAGGCTTCTTCCGGCAGAGCCTGCCACCTCTGGCCAAGCTCCGCCCGTCGGGGACAGACCGCTCGCTCAAACGAAGGGAACCCAAACGCAAGTCTCTGACCTTCACTGGGGGGGCCAGGGGTCTGCGGGACATATTTGGGAAAGGCAGAGATGCTGAAGGTAGTGTGTTTTAGTTTGTTCAATATATTCAAGCTTACTGTTGTCAGTAATAGTTGTTCCTAGTTGGGCACATAATGTCAAAAGTCCTGGTTTTACTGTCGTCCTTCTCTTTCATTCCCTCCCTTCCACAATCGAATAACCATCCTTTCATCCGTCCACTCAGCCAAACAGCCCCAGCAGCGGGGGGTGAGTCTGAACCTGAGCAGGGTTGGAGGTGTTGGAGTAGCATCTGTAGCTGGGAGTCCAGCCAGAGAGCTGAGCCGGTTGGTGCAGCTGCAGAGAGACAAACTCCAGGCCCTGGAGAGCCGTCTGCTGGGCTGCGAGGCCGAGCTGCAAGACTGGGAGGAGGCCGTCGGCGAGGTCGATGAAGTGAGTAAAACCACAGCTGCTAGCGCTGTTACTTACAGGAAAAGATTATGTGTGCAGATCCATAACACCTGCACTCTAAAACCCTCACAAATGTATTAAGTTATATTGCATTCACACAAAGTAGTAGACACTGGCCTCTCATCCTCTGCGCCGGCTGTTTTCTGGCGTAGCCGGCGTACTACGCACAACATTTGAAATCTTAATAGCTCAGCAGGCGCAGATGGGCTGCAACGCCAGGTTCCATTCACAATTAATATCACGGCCCGTTAAATGCCTGCAACATCTTTTATTCCTTTACCATGTTTTTTTTTTAAATATGTTTTTTATATTCTTTGTGGGGCTCCAGAGTTTTCACTATTTTTCTCTTACCAGGGAGGAAACTTGGAGGAGGACCTGCTGCTTTTCGAGCAGCAGGTGAGGAGGAACGATGCAGAGATGGAGGAGGAGGAATTCTGGCAGAACGAACTGCAGATTGAGCGCGAGAGCGAGCGGCAACTCCGGCAACAGCTAGTCGAGCTGCAGGGCCGCGTACGCGATTGCGAGGCCAAGCTCTCAGAGTACTTGGCACACATAGAGGTGAGCTGCTGGGTTCATAAACGGCATGAAAAGCGGAATTACTTTTTCCGTGAAGACTATTTTCATGCCAGTTATTCCATTTGATTAATTATCTGCCATGTTCTGTAGAGCATGGAGGGAGGCCTGGAGCAGGAGCAGCAGGAGGCTGAGCTCAACCAGAGGGTCAATGAGGAGGAAGTACGATCTAGTCTGTTTTGGTCTCCAAGTAAACACCCAACAGAATTCAAGCAGAGAGCGGTTTGTTGAATTGCTGAGATCTCATTCAGGTCTCTACAGCTGAGGACCCTCTCCAGTGTCTGTCATACAAAAATGCAACTTCACATAGATGAACACGAATGAACGCTGCATTGTTTTTCACAGCAAAGGAACTAACATTTTGAAGTTTTAACCACATTAAAGCATGAAAGAGCCCTCCTACATCTCCACTGTGAGGATCGGTTTTCGTTTGCCCATTACTCCTTAAAAAAAGTTTTTGATGAGCTTCGGCTTTCTCTCCTCACTTGCCACTCTGGGTTACAGGTGCGATCCCAGCTGGAGAAAGTGAGGGCAGAGCTTGAAACGCAGAGCCAACACACGGCTCGGCTGGAGAGCAGCTGCAGGGCGTTGGAACGCTCACTTGGCCAGTCCGGCAAGAGATTACAGGTCAGCTCAGATTCTGCTTATTATTTTAATTTAGTTTTTTGACACCAAAGCCTGAAAATTGAATTTAAAGCACCCGTGGCAGCTCAGAATACGTGGGGAGGATGTTGAAGTTTTATTTTTTTTGAAAATGGTTTTAAAATGCTCCTTTTTTTTTAAGTTTCAGTGCAGGGAAATTCAGTCCTCTGCTCACAAGTGGAACCATAGAAGTCTAAGCTCATTTAAGTTGTGGGCAGTGAAGCGAAGTTTTAATCTCTGGCTTGCGGGGATGTGCATTGGATCCTTGGCTGCTTGCATGCTTGTATGAAGCGATGTGCTCTATGTACAGGCGAGGTCCGGTAGGGTGTGGGAAGCATGAGGTAACGGGAAGGGGAAGGAAGAGAGGGTATTACAGCATTCTTCGTCTGATTAGAGAGGGGCCTGAATAAGTACACAATCCCTCGCTTGCAGTTACGTAACCATCTGGGAGCTAACTCCTCTCTTTAACGGTCTCAACTGGGTTATGAATTCTGGAGAGATCCTGAGCACAGTGGGATCCCATATTGATTTCCACATATTAAATCCACCTCAGTTAAAAAGCAAATTCATAAATGTAGTTTAGCGAATGCAGAAAAATATATTCAAATTAGGTACAGGGGCTGAACTCATGTTTTAAAAGTAGTACTCATTTGAATGCACCGTGAGTGTATTATTTATTAGCCTTGGCATAGACTTAATTTAGTTGTCATGGTGTTTTTTTTTTTCCAACACAGGAGAAGGAGCAGGAGCTGGAGCAGCTGACTAAAGAGCTACGACAGGTCAACCTGCAGCAGTTCATTCAGCAGACTGGTACCAAGGTCACCGTGTTGCCTGCTCAACCTACAGGAGAAAACAACAATGGCACGTACACACACACACACACACACACACACACACACACAGACAGACAAGTAACATAGACATGCATGTACACACCAACAGAGACTCAGACCCTTGCCACATTACGATCACCTTGTTCATAAAGGTCAATTTCATAGCTAACCACATTTTGACTGAAATGCTTTGCACACATTGTCCTCACATGTGTATGTACACAGTGTCACCATGTGGTCATCCTGAGAAGGACACGTTGGACTTTAGACTTGAGCTGCTGAGGCAAGACTGTTGTGAAATAACAGCTTAAGTCTGTAACCCCATTACATGGACCAAATCACTGGCAGCCCTGAATGCAGAAGACTTTCACAGTTCGTCCAAAGGAAAATCCCCCGGCTAACGTTTTGTGTTTATCAGGAGGTGGTAGAGCGTTACGGTCCAAGATTACAAGAATGTCATGTCAGATTGTTAACTCAAGTTGTTGTCCTTTTTTGTTTTTGTTTTGTTGCTTGCTACAGAAGTGGACTCTGGTTCTCTGAAACGACTTGGCTCTTCTCGGCTTTTACCCAGCGACCTTCGCACCCTTCAAAGCGCCGCGACCTCCAGCCTCAACCCTGAAGGCATCTACGTTTGACCCCAATTTGTGTGGGAGACATTATTTGAGCAGCAGGGTCGGCCTGTTGTCAATCAAATTCTTCTGACTGAAAGACTCCCCAAACTGTTGAAATGCTCTTGAGCAAGGCACTGAAACAAAGTATGGAGGATGAGTGGGGGTACAGTTCTCACATCTGTTTTGCACCTTTCTTGCTCTGCTTCCTCTTCCGTCTTACTAGGACTGAGAATCAAACTGATGTCAAAATCCATTTGCAAACTAATATTCAAACCGTCTGTACTCCGGTAGGTGAGGGAAGATTCCTCTTACAACTCTAAACTTCCATTTTCTCAGAATAACAAAAACAACTACAAGCCAGCAGATGTATTTTTGTTGCCGAAGGAGGCTTCAGCCAAACAGATACACTTTATTTTTTATGTTGTAAATCATGAAGTGAAGGATGCAAAGTTTGGACATGTATAAACATAATCCATGCACGAGCATGCACAAACACCACACCTGTGCTATAACCATAGCCATATCTTATTGCCTTACTCTGGCGTTTTAAAACCAGATGTCTATAATGTTAAAATAGAACTCAAGGTAGCTACTAAACTATGCGCCATAGAAATTTGATAAAATACTCGGCACCAATTCAGGTGATACCTAGTCATGGTAACTGATGTCAGTGTAACTCAACAGTGTCTCAATCTTTTTTTTCCCATATTTTGATATTTGTTATGAACAGGAATGCATTTGCTTTATATTTCCTGTTTGACAAAAATGTAAAAAATGTTTGCCTATCATATAAAACAAATGATAGAGGAGAAAATAATGGAGGAACATCTTCAACTATTGGGACATTTCTGGTGAAATAGTTTGGCTCCAGGTTCAGTTTTATGTCATATTTGGTGCAGAGCCATTAATCTCCTCTTTGTTTCACTTGAGCACTTTCTCCAAAAGCTCTGAAATATGAAAGAAGCGATGAGGATGAGTGATGACAGAGGCCTTTGTGCCTGCAGTGTAAATCCAGTGTGGAAAGTTCTTTTTTTTAACAATGACTTCATACTCAGTTTGACCACCAGGTGGCGACAAAACATCTATTATTCAGACGCGTGAAAGTTAACTGTGAAAGTTGCCTGAGGTCTGATGTTACCTGTCTCTATTCATTGTCATGGGTCAAACATGACTGGATATTGTTTTTGTTTCAAAGCTTCAGCACTTTAGCCTAATAGTTTATAATCTGAAGTGCCACTTGGATTGTTTGACATATTTCACTGTGTTCATCAAGCATGCACACACACTTCTCAAAGCAGTATTACACCCACACACTGCAATCTCTTGTTCCATCTGATTTTTATAATGAACTAAAGATGTCTATTATGAACCAAAGCCAGTGTGAAAATCTATAATAGTTAGATGAATGTACTTTTTTATGTCAATGCAACTTATATCCGTGAAATATACCAACTCGAGTCCAATAGTAGACACGCTTTCAGGTTTCATGGTTTGCTGTGCCAGATGGTTGAGCTCTGTCTTGTTGCAACAGGCTAAAACAAAAAATACACAAGTCTGGTTGTTACCAAATTTGCCCATTTTTTATTTGATGATTTGTCAACACAGAATAAAAGGATATTTCTCAGAGGATTTCTACGATGGAACTGACACAAACTGTGTTGGAATGTATGTTCTAATAAGGGTCCATACGCTTTTGAACTTGAAACAATTTCAATGTTTGTGGATGTCAAACCTGTGAAAAGAAAGTCTCAAAATGATGACTGTAGAAAAGATTTGCGGATGTGAGAATGTCTAAATAGTAAATGCACACAAATGCCTTTTGGTCCTACTGTGGGCTGTAAGAACGCCGCTAAAATTCATACTTGTAACTTAGATCTGGGTGTGCATGTGTAACTTTAGTGCCGAAAACACTGTGGGAATTTAGAGTGCTGAGTTTCACACGCAGCTTTCTGATTTGCATCTGTGCTCAAATATTCACAAGCAGTTCTCTTGTTTCAGAGTTTGTGCAGCCTCATCTATAAAGTGATGCGTTTGTTAATTGATGTAATATAAGGAGTACTTTTCCACTGATACTTAAAGTATATATTCTGATGCTAATACCTTACCACTTCTGCAATACGGTGGTAATTCTACTTTTTTAGAGTAAATTACTTCCTCAACCACTGACAGATTTTTTTGTACACATTGGCGTCGTCTTCAAAATCTACAATCATTTTTTACCAACTTCCATTTCTCACAGGTTCACAGAGCGCGATACACAACCACAAGCTTTGAAATCATTTCACCAGCTCGATATCTTATTGACCCTCACTTGAGCCCACAGGAAGAGACTCGTGTTTGTGCCGTGAGCGATAACAAAGTGAATTCCTCCCTCCGGTGTGACGGATCTTTGTTGTTTGCTCTGCGGTGCAAAAGGTAACCGGAGGAATTCACGTCACAACTTTTGCAAACTATTCCCAGAAATGAACAAAAAGTTTTCTTTTCTCGCCTCCGCCTCCCTTAGTATGCAGCATTATTGTCATGACAACAATCTCAGCTGTAGAGACTGTAACCCGCTAATAAAGGAATCACAGTTGACTGAACGTTTTTGAATAATGGCATGCCTTACTGGAAAAAAAACAATAATTGTGTCTACAGATTACAGCAGTCTATGGACTTTTTTTAGAAAAGTAGATTGAAGTCTGAAATATGCAGAATGCTACAGAGGTTATGTTTTAATGCTGTTGTTTAATAGGCAGCTGTGCATGCATGCAATAATGTGTGATTGGGTCATTTGGACTCCCAATTACGCAACAATTCATCTGAGAATGATTTTATTTTGGTTTTGTTGTGTCCCTTTTTGCCTTGCTGACATTTACACTGGTGGAGATTTGAGCTTTGGTAAAGAGCAGACAGCTCAGTGTACCACGAGCGGAACAATGGGCAAAACCTGCACATTACTGTCATTCCTTATGATTAAATTCTGGCAAAGACAACATCTATGGATGTAAAAGAGATCCGTGTTGCATTGAAACATGGCAGTAAGTTTACAGATATTGTTCATAATTGCTTTTTTGTTGTGCCATCAATGGTGCTTTTCAATGATAGAGCATAAAAAAAAATGTGATGGAGCCATTATGAAAACAGCCATCCAGTGGGTTTGAAAGCTAAAGTAGAAATGCTGCGGCTCAGGGATAACTCCAGACACAGAATTACCCAGACAAGAATGGGCAGAAAGTAATTATGTATGAATGCTGTTTACGTCTCGAGCATTTTGACAAGTTCAATTGTGTATTTGCTCTCATGGGGACTTGAGCAGCTGTTTGACAAATGTACCATGTAGCATTGGCTCCTAGATACAACATGTCAAATGCAAAAGAGGTAATGAGTTGGTTCTGAGAGAGGTGTAGCATTATTTGCAACACCTCTTTTTGCAACTATCGGCTGGGGTTAGAATCATTTAGATGAACTGTGCTTGGCTAACTTCACTATATAATGGCATTAACTCATTGTGTAGAGAAATTATTGTACAGTAAACATGTTTTGATTTTGTATTGTTTACAAATTCACCAACTAGATGTTTTTAGCTTTCAGAATTGAACACGTTTTCTTCTTCGGGTCATCTTTCAGCCACACATTTAAGAAATGAAACTCAAGAGAAATGTAAAATGTACAAATAAATGAATGAAATATATTTAAAAACATGCCATAAATGAATAAACTGATACAGTGGTGAATACTTTTTTTTTTTGTGATTTGTATTTCATATTTCTCATATAGGAAATCCACAGGATTTGCATAGTCACCTATCAGGGAGCCCCACTGCAAACAAATAGCTGTTGAGCCCAAAACTACCTCACACACCAAACTAAACGTGTCAAACTAAAAATAATGAAGGTCTTTTGACATAAATCTCTACAAATTTGACTGTTAGCTAAGCCCCACCACCCTTGGTTGCTGTTGCTGTGCCTTTCAAGCTTTTATTTTCTATACAAATGATGTCGTTTACAACTATAATAGTGACAGTTTTAACACTACAAAATGTGTAATCATTTTAGAAACAGTGGGTCCTCGATTCCACAAAGAAGTTGACTGAAGCGAGCTAACGTTGGCTCCATGACTTCAAAACACTGTCTTTTAGTGTTTCCACATCAAATTGTTTTAGAAGGGGAACCATGTAAAGTGGTCCTACGCATGAATTTGATGGCAGGATATTGTGCTAAAGGACTGAAGCTCGAGCTCTCAAGCAAAGGATCCTCACCAGATAATAGTTTGCATTGAAAACATGGGAAAAAAGAAACAGCATTGCTTTTGTATTGCAGTGTGGAGATACAAATATAACATCTATGGTCAAACCAGTTACTGTTTATTTACACCGCTTCAACATGGAGGAATCCACATGTCTGGTGTAGACAGAAGTTTAAAGTGTGAGGGCTGAAAGCCTTCCAGTGTTGTATCCCCGAAATCAAAATGCTTGTCACCATGTCACGCAATGGTGATAACACGACATTTTAGGGACACCCATCCTACAACAAAATGCAGCTTTATTTTATCGGGGTCTTACTTTTGCTGCTGCTGCAACCTGAAGGAGCCGGAGACGTGAGGGTGACTTTTGCAGTTGTCTAACACGAGATGAGATAAAAGCGCGGATGACCTTCTCTAAATCTGCGAAGGATAAAAACAACTTAATATTTCATATGTATCTGAATTGCAGGAAGCAGAGTCTCAGCAGCCTCTTTACCTGCACTTCAGAAGTCAAGTAACTGTCAGAATCACTCTCAGCCCCCGCGGCCAGTCGGCTTTGTGTTCGAGAGACAGACACACAGACAGACAGACAGACAGACTACTGCCAAGATTGACTGGAATAAAAGTTTCTCCAAACAACAACCAGTTTCAGATTAATTTTCAACTTTTGATACTGTACAGAGTTGGAGGACTTATCAGACCAGTTTTGAGCGAAACGTCTCTCCCAAATGTATTTCTGCTTTAACACTTTAATGGAGCTCAACAGCTGGGTCAGAGGGGCTCTTATTACATCTGTGACCCTCTCACACCAGACGATGCTTGAAGATTTGTAGCCTTAAATGCTGTTACATTTTTAACCATCGTTGTCTCCTGTGGTTAATAAAGTGCCATCTTTAGGTCTAATCGGGTTTTTTTAAAGCAGGCATCACTTTTGGTGACGTATTATGCAGTATATCTCATTAGGAAATAAAACTCCCAAGTAAGTGACAGCAGTTTTCATCATGCAGGCACCAGCCAAGCCTCAAGTCATTGTACCACGACAGCATTGTTCAGTTTAAAATCTTATTTTTCGAGATCAGTGTGGTGTGTTAAATGGAGGCTTGTGGAGGAATCTGGATTTTAAATGATACATATACATATTTTTAAATAAAGAACACTGTAAGCCCCTCTTAAACACAAAGTTGTAACACCCCTATACCCTAAACTTTTGTCTTTCTTAAATACCCGGTGAGTATTTTATTGATAGCCATGTGTGCAAAATAATAAATGCAATTTCCGGGCTGTAAACTTGTTATCAATTTCTTATTATAAATCAAACCAAACGACTCAGATTCGGAGTCAGGTTTAGCTCTTTATTGGCTGCTCTACTTCCAAAATGTTTGTTAGGTGGCAATTTATCCCAGATTTGTACAACAAATCCACTTCCCTCTGAGCTGTTATCGACTCCTTTCTCTATCCTGAGCTCTGCTGATTCAATCGCAAAGCAGTCATTTGGCTCGCAATAACATCAAAGTATGTTTGATTTTATCAGAAGGAAATCTGCACCGTGCCGTGGTGTCGCAAGACTTTTTTTAAGCAACCGTGTGGATGGAGATCAGAGATTTCATGTGAGTTATCTGAAAGTCTTCTAAAAGGCACAGTGTGATGGGGATGAGTAATAGTCTTACAATCATGGAGCCTAATTAGTTAACCTCAATTTGTGAATTATGATGCAAATGTTGAACCTTAGATGGATTAAACAATTGTGTTTAAACTGAATTATAGTTGTGCCTGAAGATTGATTAGACTATATATGTGTGTGTGTGTGTGTGTGTGTGTGTGTGTGTGTGTGTGTGTGTGT